TAGGAAGTGGAGTGATAGGTGCCTGTTTTTGTTGGGAGACCAGTTCTCCTCAATGTGGCTTCCTCTCATGCATCTTCATGAATATTTGATGTCTGTCCATCTCCCCAACTAGGCTAAGCTCCCCCAGGGCAGGGTTTGTGCCTGGGTTTGCTCACCGCTGGATGCGCCCGGCTCATGGTTTGTTAAGGAGTCGCGGCAGTGCAAATACGGACCCCAGAGCGCCGCCGCTGGTCATCATCGTGGATGAAACCAAGTCGGCCGGAGTTAGGATCTGCTACACAGAAGCCTCAGGCGCGCGAATTTCCCTTTCTTGGCACTTAACAGCATCACGGACAGCGGTACTTTTGAATCTTCTGGAGTAGCTCTTCTTTTTGTTTTGTTTTTTAAACCCTGGGCATGTGAACGTCAGACTGCACAGTTCCTCAAGCTGTCTGACCCCTGCGCACACACTCACGGGCAGGGCCCGTCTGCGGCTGCACGCCACAGCAGGCAGCCGCTCCCTCCGCCTTTGCCCTGGGGATACGCCCTGGCCGGAGCCTCTCTGGGGTGGGGGCAGCGCTGGGACAAACCATGGCTTCTCCCCGTTCACCTCTGCTTGGACCCTAATTTCTGAGGATAGAAGCATCGCAGGGGGGAGGGGGGAGGCGTTCGGCAAAGTCCTGGCCCATGTCCCTCTGGACAGACACGTACTTTCCCCTACAAATTACCTTGCGCTACACTCACCAAGGAGCTCCTGTCCCAAGATGGACTCACTTCTTTCTTTCTCCTCCCCAAATGTTAAGGGGGGAGGTTAGCAATAGACATTCAGGAAGATTAGGGGCAATAAGTTTCACCTACGTATCTGTGTGTCACTAAAGATAGAGTTCATGTTTACAAAGAAGCGTGTTGGGACCATTCATTGATTCAGAAATAAAGCTGACCAAATTAAAATGAAAGCTGTAACTCTAAGGGGTAAATTAAAATCACAAATCTCCTACATGTTGGTAGATATGTACATTCACCGGTCTTTACTAAAGAGTTATTTCTACCATTATATAGAAAACAGATTCAATGGCACCATTGTAAAAAGAGATATGGACAATATTTCTTCACTACTTTCCCATTTACATAATCATTACAAATCATTCAAAGTCCATGAATTTGATTGTTGCATATTGAAACTATACTCAGATTATCACAACATTAAAAAAATACTGTAGCAGTCTCTCAGCAACGGCATTTTCCTTTACATATTTTGAGCTCCTGTCAAAGATGTTCATAAAATAACTCATGCGGAGTCCAGTGGGCAATACCCACGGTACATGGCTGGGAGGTGTTGGGTGAGGTGCTGGCCCACCTTTAATAAGCTGGGTCTGGGCCGGGCGCGGTGGCTCACGCCTGTAATCCTAGCACTCTGGGAGGCCGAGGCGGGTGGATTGCTTGAAGTCAGGAATTCAAAACCAGCCTGAGCAAGAGCAAGACCCCATCTCTACTATAAATAGAAACAAATAATTGGCCAACTAATATATATAGAAAAAATCAGCCGGGCATGGTGGTGTGTGCCTGTAGTCCCAGCTACTCGGGAGGCTGAGGCAGGAGGATTGCTTGAGCCCAGGAGTTTGAGGTTGCTGTCAGCTAGGCTGACGCCACGGCACTCACTCTAGCCTGGGCAACAAAGCGATACTCTGTCTCAAAAAAAATAATATAAGCTGCGTCTGAATGAAAATTGAACCTGAAGCTACCTAGTGGACCAACTCCAGCAGAGATCAGAGTTAGTTAGATGCTAGGACCTAAATACATGGCAAGCCTGGTAAAACGATGCCATTTTTAAAACCCCTTAAAACACACAATCAGAAATAACAAACAGGCAGACACCCAACTGAGATAGTGACGTCCAAGAAGACTTAACTCTTTATCTCCAAAGGTTGTTTTTGAGAAAATCCATATTTTTCAGGCATTCTTCATCTCCATCAGGTCTTAACAGCCCTGGGCAGGAGACTATGTATGCTCCTGACACAGTATCTTTGGGGCTTACCCCAAGGAAGAGATGCATAATGGTATCATGGGGCGGCTATTTGTACTAAAAGATATTCATAAAAACATTAAGCTAAAAAGGGCATGAAATGAAGATACTAAATGCTACTTTAGCCCTAAAAAACAATAATAATGGTCTCAACTAAATGCCATGTGGCCACTGTCAGCAATACGAGGATTCCTCAAAATTGGCTGCTCAACACCACTTGCCCTAAAGTGCGTCAGAACCCGACTGCGTGGCAGACCCTAGGGCAGAGCTGTTACTGCGTCAAATCAGGAAGCCATACGAGTAAAAGGTGTATTTTCAAACTCAGCGAGTCGAGGAAGAAACACACAGAAAAGAAAAAGCTTTGGCAATCATACAATGAAAATACATAAACCCGAGTATGCTCTGCACGGCAGGTAGGAAGGAAACCAGGTGAATGCTCAGCGCCACTTACACCAGCATATTCTGTCGTCACTTAGGCAGCAAACCGTTGAGCTATTCTTTACAAATTACAAATTTACCATTATCCTCCCAATCTTTTAAATTAAGAAAGACATTGTATTTTTCAAGTGCTTATTCTGATTTCTCAGGCGAAGGCGTGCAGCCCCTTACCTGTGGATTAGTGGATCCGGGGCAGCACTGCCTCACAGAGATTCTCCAAGCCCAGCGGGCTCTGGGCGCGGCTCAGCAGTCCTTTTGTGCGTCCCCAGCCACTTGCCTTTCCCACTCCCAGGCCAACCATCCGTTCTCCATTCGTGTCTCAGAAGTCTGGCTCGTGCCCGCTGTCTGCCTGGCCAACCCGTGGGCTCCTTCGAGGCCCGCCAAGGCACCTCTGCTTCCGTAAGGCCCTGTCCCTGACTCCCCAGAGCGTCTGCATGTCCTCTTGTGACACCAGTGCCCTACAGTTACATGCACACCGGGGGGTCCCCGCCCTAAAGGTCACCAGAATCACGCTGAGGGTCTGCGAAAACCCCGCTTGCTGGGCCCAGCCCCTGAAGCTCGGTTCAGCAGGCCTGAGGTGGGCCCTAAGAGCAGGCGTGTCTAACAAGTGTCAGGTGCTGCTGACACTGCGGGGCCAGGGACCACACTCTGGGGATCATTTTTCTTAATTGCTCAATTCCACGCTTGCACTAGACTGTGAGCGTCTCGAGGTCAGGGAGCATTTCTTACACATCTCTTCCCCAGGGTACAGCCAGTGTCTAGCAGTCACTGAGTCAATCAGTAAACATTTACAGAGTGCCTGCTATGTGCCAGGTACTGCTCTAGGCACTGGGATTCAGCAGTTAAAAAAAAAAGAAAGAAAAAATATATGTCTATATGTCTCCCTGTCCTCATAGAGTTTTCCTTCTGGTGCTACATAGTAAACCCTCAATTGTCTATTGAGATCTGACCAGTTGTACAGAAGGAAAAATGCCATTATCATGACCATTTTAATAGTAATGCCAACTTTTCACTTTCTACTCACAGTTTTTTCCCATTTGCATGCTTCTCCCTTCTGACATCCCATCCCAACACCCAACATATAAATGCATAAACCTGGCAGTATACCCAGCTTGTGTGTCTTACACAGTATTTACTGATCGATTTATAAAATATTTGGTGTAGGTGGCTTATTTAAAAAACAACAAATCCAAGAACTTAAGCATGTACAGTTAATATAATAAAGCAATTTTGGGAAGTAAGCAATATCAGCATTTTATATTGATAAACATTAAAGAATAGCTTAACTAGTGGGCTTCAAATTAGCATCAGCTACCTCTAAGGGTGCCTCCCAATCTCAGCCTCCTGACTCCATGCTTTACACCTGTGTAAAGTATTTACAGCAATTCTCAACTGCCTGGAAAGGTGACTTTGAACTCCCACTGGACCTAAGCAGGCTGCTGTCCAAGCCAGAGTATGCAGTCAACGTTCCGATTGTCAACTGTCCTGAGCACAATTCTGAGAAACTGGTAGGAAGCCACATGATGTCGTGGAAGGAAGGGAGCAGATGCAAAGGCAAATCTGACTACCTCCACAGGGGGGCCTTCTCATGAAACACGTCCCAGGCCGATGGGCCATGGGCCTCAGCAACTACCTCCTTAACCCCAGGGAAGCACAAAACATGAACCTTCAGCTTTAGACTAATTTTCTAAAAGTTTCTCAGAAATAAAAAAAACAGAAACCACACAGAGCAATTTGGAAGATAAGTGAAATGACCATAATGTTTACTTTCAAGACTTTCAGTATTCTTGAGATTGGCAAATGTTTTTATAATAAAAAACCTACCTTTTCAAGGTCAAGCCATAAGATACCAGTGTTAATTATATGGAAGGAAAAATTATATGGGGGTAGCATTTATAAATGAAATTATAAAAAGGCTAGTTTCAATATTCCAGATTCAAATATGTCTTCTCTGTAAATATCAGAACCAAATTTGAGGTTCATTGTTAGTGATTTCAAGAGTCAGTGATATCAAATAGCAACATTGTCTCAAGAGTCATATTCTCTTCCTAGTACCACCCCAAATCAGCGATATAACTGTGCCCTCGTCCAACAAGTCATTATGGTTCTATATATTCAGAAAGATCTAAGAGAAACTGACATTAAAAAAAAATATATATATATATATATATATATATACTTTTAAAATGGAGACCAAGTGCACCAACTTTACTTTTATGAGTCATCCTAATTAAGTAAATTCTTACTACTAGAAAGCTTTGGGTATTAATGTGACCTTTTGGCTAGCTATACACTGACTCCCAAAAGATGACATTTATTTCCCTGGAGCAGTTTACTAATTGCCACCTTTGTGTTCCAAAGGAATTAGTATTTCTCAAAAGGTGTTGGATTCCCTGCAGAAGTATGACCTCCAGTGTACCAGCCCGTTTCAAATTGGGCTAATACAAAATCAAGATAAATAAAAACCAATACCCATTAGTGATTATATTGGTCTCAAATTATTGCTATCTCATTTAGTGTAATCAAAGAACACACCACTATATTCTGAAAAACACACACAGAAATCTAAAAATATTTTCATTAACATCATTCATATCCTAGAAATAAATTAATGTCCTTAAAAAAACTTTTCAATTATTTGCAAAATCCATCCTTATTTTCTGCGTTAACAAGGCTGAATTTTAGAAGTGCAATAAAAAAAATTCTTGAGTCCTTCACTCCCACGTAGACAGGCCTTCTTAGTGGTTTTCAAGACACAGCTTCTTGTTTTGGTGCTGTTCTTCGTTCAGAGGGATGCCACTCACCGCTCTGTCTAGCATTCAAGAATAACTTCATGTCAGGAAAACTTCACTTCAAACACATGGGTACTTGTTTCAGCCACATAGGTTGTAAAAGCAAAACAGTGCTTATCTTAAAGAAATATTCACTTTATTTTATCTTTAAATTCTTAACTATGAAGAACTGATTTTAAATAACTCACTCTCAGGCAATACAGTATCTGACCTTTTAAAAACTGGGTTCAGGCCGGGCGCTGGTGGCTCATGCCTGTAATCCTAGCACTCTGGGAGGCCGAGGTGGAAGGATTGCTCGAGGTCAGGAGTTTGAAACCAGCCTGAGCAAGAGCGAGACCCCGTCTGTACTATAAATAGAAAGAAATTAATTGGTCAACTAATATATATAGAAAAAATTAGCCGGGCATGGTGGCGCATGCCTGTAGTCCCAGCTACTCGGGAGGCTGAGGCAGGAGGATTGCTTGACCCCAGGAGTTTGAGGCTGCTGTGAGCTAGGCTGACGCCAGGGCACTCACTCTAGCCTGGGCAACGAAGTGAGACTCTGTCTCAAAAAAAAAAAAAAACCTGTATTCACTCAACAGAGTATGGCAAATAATTCATAAAAAATGTTTTTTTTTTTTTTTTTTTTTGAGACAGAGTCTCACTTTGTTGCCCAGGCTAGAGTGAGTGCCGTGGCGTCAGCCTGGCTCACAGCAACCTCAAACTCCTGGGCTCAGCGATCCTACTGCTTCAGCCTCCCGAGTAGCTGGGACTACAGGCATGCGCCACCATGCCGGGCTAATTTTTGTATATATATTTTAGTTGGTCAATTAGTTTCTTTCTATTTTTGGTAGAGACGGGGTCTCGCTCAGGCTGGTTTCGAACTCCTGACCTTGAGCGATCCGCCCGCCTCGGCCTCCCAAAGTGCTAGGATTACAGGCGTGAGCCACCGCGCCCGGCCCCTAAAAAATGTTTTTTTTAAAGTCCCTATTATTAGGCTGGAAAAAACAAAATGCACCTACCTATCCTCCAAAGGGAAGTGGGGCGTGTGTGGGTAGGGAGAGTGTGGGGAGCTCCCCACCATTTAAACACTCCTCTACTGGCAGGAAGACAGACTTACCAATGAGGCAGGGCTGGGAAAAGGGTCTGCTTTCAACCTTTTCCTGGCTTTTGTTTTTAACAGTTTTAATTTTACAATAAAGCTAACATATTTAAAATATACAATAAACTGCACATATTTAACGTCTACAATTTGATGAGTTCTAACATAAAACACATCCGTAAAACCATCACCATAGTCAAGATGATGAATGTATGCACTACCTGCAAAAGTCTCCTCCTGGCCCTTGCTCCTGTCTTTTGAAAGATCTGCCCGCCCTCCAAGCCTGTGTGTCACACTGCGCTTATCCTAAGGATACCTGCGTCAGGGCTAAGCTCGCCTTCCAGAGGTCGATCTGGAAAGCTCCTCTTCCTCTCTCTCTCTCACCCTATTACATAATATTTGAAACACACACACACACACACACACATATGTGTGCGTAAGTACTACAGATTGGAGTTCTAAAGCCTAACAATAAAATGAACACTCAAGAACCTACTGCCCACAAAAGGATTATATCTTCCTTAAATTTGCACTAACTGAATACAACTATTTGCCTAAAGTGGGGTGGGGGGCAGGGTGGAATAATGAACCTGCCGGCAACCTAACAACTAGAACATCACCAATTCCCACGTGCTCTCCCTCTCATCCCATCCCCATGCAGAGGTAACTACTATCTTGAATTACGTGTTTATCATTCCACCGGTTCTTAAAAATAATTTTATCGTGTATACTAAATAATATACTATTTGGCTTCTTTTTGAACTTTACATAAAAAGTGTATCATAACAATTCTGTGGCTTTTTAAAATTCAACATTACATTTCTAAGATTCACATGGTGAAGAATGTAGCTGTAGTTCATTTACTTTCACTGCTATGTGGTAGTCCATTGTGGGAATACACCAGAATATTTTTTATCTAATCTCCCTAGATAAATATTTGTGCTAGTTCCAGTTTTTGCTTTTAATAACAATGTTGCAATAAATTCTTCGTCTCTCTGTCTCTTATACAATACGCAAGAGTTTCTCTAGGGCACGTACTTAGAAATACTGCTGCAGCATGGGGTATATTCACATTCAGTTTTACAAAGATTTTCCAAGGTGGTTGTAAAATTTTCCAACCAGCAACATACAAGAGTTTCTAACGATCCATATCCTCACTAGAACTTGGTAACAGCAAACTTTAATCTGCAAATTGAATAGGTGTAAAACATTGCTTCAATGGGATCTTAATTTGCATTTCTCTGGCTGCTAATGAGTTTGATCATCTTTTCATGTGTTTAATCAACATCTGTTTTATTTCTTCTTCTTCTTTTTTTTTTTTTTTTTGAGACAGAGTCTCACTTCGTTGCCCAGGCTAGAGTGAGTGCCGTGGCATCAGCCTAGCTCACAGCAACCTCAAACTCCTGGGGTCAAGCAATCCTCTGCTGCCTCAGCCTCCTGAGTAGCTGGACTACAGGCATGCACCACCATGCCCGGCTAATTTTTTCTATATATATAGTTGGCCAATTAATTTGTTTCTTTATAGTAGAGACCGAGGTCTTCTCTTCGCTCAGGCTGGTTTCAAACTCCTGACCTCGAGCAATCCTCCCACCTCGGCCTCCCAGAGTGCTAGGATTACAGGCGTGAGTCATGCGTCCGGCCGTGTTTTTCTTCTGTTGCGAAATACCAACATTTACCCATTCTCTATTAAATTCTCCTTTCTTATCAATCTGTAGGACCTTCTTTTCTATTATGGAAACCAGTTCATTATCGTGTCTGGAAAACATACTCTTCCAGTGGATGACTGGCCTCTTCACTTCCTATACAATGTCTTTAGGAGAAGAGAAGTCCTTAATTGGAATGTATTCTAATTTCTCAGTCTTTTCTTCAATAGTCAGCATTATCTGTGTTCTCTGTTAAGTCATCCTTTCTACTCCAGGCCATAAAAATAGTTTATATTTTCTTCTAACACTTAAAAAAATTTACCTTTTCCTCTTGTCTTTAATTCACATGCAACTGATTTTTGCATATTATGTGAGGTAAGCATTCAGTATCATTTTGATAACCCATTTCCTAGCACTACATATTAAACAGTCTATTCCTGCCCCTGTGTGTGCATGGCCCTGTCTGCCAGGGATGCTCAGTGCCCCGCAGTCATGGGGCAGAGCTCCACATTGATGGGCTGTCCCACTCAAACTACCAAGCATGCCCATTAATAAACGGGCTTAACCCATCCCTGAGTTTTTTATTTTAGCCATCATATTTTTTCATTTCTCTCAATTCTGACTGATTCTTTTCAAAGTTGCCTGGTCTTTTTTTTTTTTTTTTTTAATTGGTGGGTGAGACAGGGTCTCACTCTGTTGCCCAGGCTAGAGTACAGTGGCACAATCTAGCTCACTACAACCTCCATCTTCTGGGCTCAGGTGATCCTCCTGCCTCAGCCTCCCGAGTAGCTGGGACTACAGGTGTGCACACCACATCCAGCTAATTTCTTCTATTTTTAGTAGAGACAGGGTCTTGCTCTTGCTCAGGCTGGTCTTGAGCAAGCAGTCCTGGGCTCAAGCAGTCCTCCTGCCTAGGCCTCCCAGAGTGCTAGGATTACAGGCGTGAACCACCACGCCTAGCCATGTGGTCATTTTTTATAATAGCTTGTTCTTTGCTCAATTTTTCAATGGCATCTTTTATTTTTTGAACATTTTATACCCTCCGTTTCAGTGGTCCCCAACCTTTTTGGCACCAGGGACTAGTTTCATGGAAGACAATTTTTCTATGCAACCTCCAATGCCAGTGATGGGGAGTGGCTGTAAATACAGATGAAGCTTCACTCACTCGCAGCTGCTCCCCCCCTGCTGTGCTGTCCAGTTTCTAACAGGCCAAAGACTGGTACTGGACTGTAGCCTGGTGGTTGGGGACCACAGCTCTATTTGATAACTCTAATACATGAAGTTCTTGGGAATCTAAATACCTTGTTTGTTGTTTCTGTTCACTCTCACTCATGGTGGTATATTTTCATCTGTGTTTGGTGCTTTTTCAATTATGAACTCATGTTTTATTCTACCCTGTAGGCCTAAATGAATTTGCACTTGCCTCTGACAGGAGCCAGGAGGTGCACCTGAGTGGGGCATTTTAGCTTCCTTTGAGCCCCTCCAGCTTCATGTAGGAGCCTTAGCTTCATTCACCCACCTTGCAGCAGACCTCAGACTTACTCTCAAGGGCCCAGATTACATAGACATTTGTCCCCAAGGCAACTCTGGCTTTGTGTTTACTTACTTTTCCTATTCAGATTCTGACAAAATGTTTCATCATCTTATCTCAGTTTTTTTTTTTTTTTTTTAAAGGCAATATGGGTGGTTCCTGAACATTTTCCTGATTTTCTGGAAAGCCCTGTGACTCTTTAAAAAGAATGCTTGTTATGGGCTATTTGGGTTACAGGTCTATGCAGTGGAAGAGCACTTGAGAGTAGTCAGTCATACTGCCTGTCCCCCTTTTTCTTTTGTCCTTGCTACTGACACTGTGAGGGTATCCAGCAGCAAGTCCCCGCTGAGTTGACAGGCTAATTTGGCCAAAGGTCAAGCCCCAGTCTAGCAACAAAGCTGGTGTTTCGACATTCATCTGTTGATTCTTGTGTCTATTTCTCTACTGTATCAAAAATTGGAAAGGGACCAGGCACAGTGGCTCACACCTGTAATCCTAGCACCCTGGGAGGCTGAAGTGGGAGGATTACTTGAGCTCAGGAGTTTGAGACCAGCCTGAGCAAGAGCGAGACCCCTGTCTCTACTATAAATAAAAAGAAATTAGCCAACAACTAAAAATAGAAGAAATTAGCTGGGTATGGTGGCATGTGTCTGTAGTCCTAGCTACCTGGGAGGCTGAGGCAGGAGGATTGCTTGAGCCCAGGAGTTTGAGGTTGCTGTGAGGCAGGCTGATACCATGGCACTCTTGCCTAGGCAAGAGACTGAGACTCTGTCTCAAAAAATAAATAAATAAATTGGAAAGGAACCACATGATGTATGCTTACATTTATATGAAATGGCCAGAACAGAAGAATCCATAAAAACCTGAAGTGTTGCCTAGGGCTGGGGGTCGGGGAGAATGGCAGTGACTGCAAACAGGGGTTCCTTTCTAAGATGATGAAAATGTTCTGAAATTAGGTTGTGGTGATGGTTGCACCACTCTGTGAATATAATAAACACCACTGAATTCTAATACTTTAAAAGGGTAAATTTATGATATGTGAATTATATCTCAGTAAAGCTATTACATGATTGAAAAGGAGATAGGGATATTATTTATTGATATAAAACAATTGTTCAAAAATGCATATAAAACATAAACTTATAGCTCAATGAGCTGTCACAAATAAATAACACTTAACCATCAAGGCTAGACAATAAATAAAGCATGCCAACAAATCCGAAGCCTTCCTCCTGTCTCCTTTCAGTCTGGAGCTTAACCATAAGCATGTTCCTTTCCCTTAGTGATCCTAGGAATAACAAAATCAACTAGATCAGCCTTTGTTGATAATAAGCTGGCAAATATCTTCTCCTTTGACACTCTTAATGATACTCTTAGATGAACAATGTTCTAATTAACAAAATTAATTCATCTTTTATTATCCAGTGTTGTATTCTTTCCCTAACAATCAGGAAATTAAACTGACCTCAAATACGTTATTGAATACACATTTCAATCAATACATATATTTCTTCCTTTAGGTTTTTTGCTTTTTTCTCCTCATAATTTTAAAACAAATAGTGGCAATAGATTATAGTTTTTTTCAGATGCATAAACCAATTAATTTACTGATTTGAATACAAATAAAGGCTAATTCAGAACACAGAATATAAAGATACTCAGCATAGAACATTTTTTCACCTTTATAATTTTGGATTTCAGTGTCAGACAAATTACATTGTCACATTAAGAAACTACCAGTACAACTTCTATTTATCTAGAATCCAAACAAGGGCAAGATAACATACTACTATTTAAAGTAATATCGTATAGCCATCGCAAAATTATCTGCTAAGAATTGTAAATTCCCAAAAGATATATGCGTTCAAAATATCTGTGTTAATATTGCAATATAAGTTTGAAAACTATAATTTCATACACAGGTGTAGCCATGTATCGTACCAGATTATTAAGTAACCAGAATGGTTTCATTCCTCTGACCAACATGGGCAAATGTGGCTTTACCCTAAGAAGAATTATATATATCATCATGTTGGTCATAGATAATCTACTCAGATTATACATATTTTTCCTTTCTCCTGCCCAAGAAACCTTTTGTTTTGGTATACAGGAAACCGCTTGTTGCTACTGTTTCATATAAATTCAATCTGTACATAATTATTTGTATTAAACTGTAGTTTCTATAGGAGTAATTATTAATCAGCACTTTTCATAGCACCTAACATATTGTAGATGTTTATGAACAAATTGAATGGCAAAAATCTAACCTGTAAAAAGAATATTCTCCATCTGTTAACACCACAATTTCCATCACCTGATCATTAAAATCACCATGTATCCTTTCTCCTCAGCAACAAAGTTAAGGTCAATGTAGGACTTGTAAATACTTACTTTCTCTCCTTCCAGGTTCATTTTGTTCAAGACCATAAGCTCCTGATGGATTCAGCTGCCACTGTAAGCGGGCACAAACATTTTATTATGTGTTAGAAGGATTTAATAAATAGAATTTCACCATCCTTCTTTTTTTTTTTTTTTTTGAGACAGAGTCTCACTTTGTTGCCCAGGCTAGATGAGGCCTAGCTCACAGCAACCTCAAACTCCTGGGCTCAAGCAATCCTCCTGCTCAGCCTCCCGAGTAGCTGGACTAACAGGCATCACCACCATGCCTGGCTAATTTTTTAAATATATATATATATTATTTTTTATGTTTCTTGTTTGTTTGTTTGTGTTTTTTGAAGACAGATCTTGCTTTGTTGCCCAGGCTAGAGTGAAGTGTCATGGCGTCCAGTCTAGCTCACAGCAACCTCAAACTCCTGGGCTCAAGCAATCCTACTGCCTCAGCCTCCGCCGAGTAGCGGGAACTACAGGCATACGCCACCCATGCCCGGCTAAGTTTTTCTATATATACTGTTAGCCAATTAATTTCTATTTATAGTAGAGACGGGTGTCTTGCTTTTGCTCAGGCTGGTTCGAACTCCTGACCTCGGCAATGCCGCCCGCCTCGACCTCCCAGAGTGCTAGGATTACAGGCGTGAGCACACGCCCGGCTTAATTATATATTAGTTGGCCAATTAATTTCTTCGTATTTAATAGAGATGGGGTTCACTCTTGCTCAGGCTGGTTTCAAACTCCTGACCACGAGCATCCGCCCGCCTCAGCCTCCCAGAGTGCTAGGATTACAGGCATGAGCCACCGCGCCTGGCCTCCATCCTGCTTTTAAATATCAAAACAGCTTTTGAAAACTATAAGGATAACATGTCCATATCAACAAAGTCCTAATAATGCCACCCTGAGTAACTCCAAATGATGACGTTTGGGATCAGAACTGATACCCTTAGAGAAAGCAGGGACCTTAAAGTTCCTTTACATTCTTTTTACAGGTAAGGAAGTGGAAGACCGGAGGATTGGAGTGACTTGCCCCAAGTTCCACACTAACCACAGGCAGTGACAGAATTAGAACCTGGGCCTGCCTGTGCCCAGCTCTATGTTATTAACACCATATCATATTGTTTCTCCAGGTCTTACAGATCCTCTATAATAGCTAGAGAAGGCCTAGGTATTAAAGAATGAAAATATAACCAAGATTACCTTGCCTTTTTAATGTGTTATATCATATAAATTATTATTTACATCATATCATTTTACATCATATAATATCACATGTCATATTTCCTCTGATTAGTTTTCCATCTCAACCATTCGGAAGGAAATAGGGAAGCCTGAAGATTCTCGAATATTACAGAGAAGATTGAAGCAGCAGAAAGAAAAATGGAGAATATCTTACAGCACAGTCCTTCCTTTCTTACCTGGCTAGAATCTCTATCGAAGTCACTAATGACTTAACCAAAAAGGCCACTATCTCAGGAGACAAGATTAAGTACCAATTATCTGGGAGCCTCTTCCATAAGCATAATTAGTTCATCAGATTAACTAGTTAACATCTGAGCCTTGAGGGGGATGAGATACAGACAAACATTTTACCATGTATAAAAAGCCCTTAAAGAGGAGGAACATCTAGAATCAGTTGGACACTTACAGAAATGACATGGCCAGACTTAGCATCAAGGAAAAAAGAGTACTTATAAAGGGTAGGAAGTTACATAGAAATTACAGAAAAGAAAAAGAAAAAAGAGGCATGTTAGAAACACCACCTAACCACTAAATCTCTAACTCTTAATTTCAGCAGAATTAAAATTAAAGACCAATATATATATATATATATATTATAATAATAATATATATATTTTTTTTTTTTTGAGACAGAGTCTTACTCTGTTACCCAGGTTAGAGTGCTGTGGCTTCAGCCTACCTCACAGCAACCTCAAACTCCTGGGCTCCAGCAATCCTCCTGCCTCAGCCTCCTGAGTAGCTGGGACTACAGGCCTGCGCTACCAGGCCTGCGGTTAATTTTTTCTATATATTTTTAGTTGGCCAATTAATTTCTTTCTATTTTTAGTAGCGACGGGGTCTTGCTCTTGCTCAACTGGTAAAAACCAATAATCTTGAACTTACATTTAAGGATATTCATAAAAAGTATTTTTATATCTGTAAAAATGCAGAAACAATCTAGTCTAACAGCAGGGGAATGGTTAAATAAGTTAGGTTAGAATATTGTGTAATTATTAAAAATAATTTCTGAAGAATTTTGAATGACACAGAAAATAGAGCAACATGTTAACAGTGATATCTATGAGTTGTGAGATGACATATGTTCTTTTTTATTTTCCTAGTCTTCTAAAATGAGCATATATTACTTTCATAATAAATGAAAGTAATATGATCTAATAGAGAAAAATCCACATATGTTAAACAGAAAAAAAAAGAATTGAGTAAGTGGACATGGATATACACACTTGTAAAATCTATTATTGAAAATAGCATTAAGCCGGGCATGGAGGCTTATGCCTGTAGTCCCAGCTACTCAGGAAGGAAAGGGTGGAAGGCTGTTTGGAACCCAGGAGTTCAAGATCAGCCAGGGCAACATAGTGAGATCCCATTTCAAAAAGAAAAGAAAATAGTGTTGCTCCCCCCAGCCTAGTTTACTATGACACCACTTATCTCAAGGTCTATGGTAATAAATCAAAAAGAAAAGTAAAAATCATTCAAACAAAATTAATTTACTTTAAATCTTAAAGACAAGTATCAGTTTACTGACATTTATACCACTTTTAACAGTCTAAAAGTATTGAAATTCAAATTTAGAACAAATACTAGCAAGTGGTAATCACTGGAATTTACAAAACTAGGTATTTTCGCTAACCATCTACATACTATTTCAAGCCAGGCCAGATGAGGGGCAGGGTGAGAGGATGGACAGCTAGTCTGTGTGGGAAGGAGAATGGAGAACAACCATGGGTACATCTATTCTCTCAAAAAGTACCTGAGTAGGGTTATTACTCCTGGGTGGGTCTGGCCCCAGGAGGCATTTCTGTTACCCATCTCTGCCCCTGGGGCTGCCCTTTGTCCTCCTGTCTCCTTCTACTTCTCTTGCCCTATTTCCTCATCTTCTCATCTCTTCATTCTTGCAAATGAAAAGCTACTAAGACCTACCAGCAAGCAAGATATCTCAGAATTTGCAATAACCCATTACTCATCGTCCTAAAGAGCTAGGTCACTTCATCTTTATGAAAAGAATTTGAAAAACCTATTTCTCCACATTCTTCAGGAGGAATGAAGAAACAGAAAACAAAAAAAACTGGAGAGTTTTCTACTAATTAAATTTTAATACTTGGTTTCTTCAAGAGGGATCTATTTATCATCTTTCCCTTCTTTCACTGCAAATCACCCCTTCTCTTTTAAACCCGTGATAAACTTTAAAACAATTAGAAATAAAAAACAAAAAAATGAAACATTAAAATGTTAAAACTTATGATATTTATATAATCACATATACTCAGAAACTGGATAGTAAATTCCTATATTTAAATTATACAGATCTGTGTGTGTGTGTGTGTGTGTGTGTGTGTATAATATCTCAGGCACCTGGACTCAACTGATGCATCATAACAGGAATATAAGCTGAATTTTAAATAGTTATTTATATGCTTTCCTGACCACTGCAAATTTATGCTGGGATTAAATCATTGATGTCATAAATCACATATGATTCTGGACAGTATCCTATTGCTACACAGAACATTGCTAGGGCAGCTAGTGAACCATGGCTGGAATCTGTGGAATAATGGCAGTAATGTATCAATGTTAATTGTCTGATTTTTGTGGTTGTATTGTATTAGTCGGTTATCTTAATTTTGGGAAATAAAGGTGATCTGGTTCATGTCACAATTTGGGAAAAAAACTTTTAGTGTTTTATAACTTTTTTGTATGCTTAATTAAGATTGTTTCAAAATAAAGTTTTTTGTTGTTTTTTTTGAGACAGAGTCTCACTTTGTTGCCCAGGCTAGATTGAGTGCCATAGCATCAGCCTAGCTCACAGCAACCTCAAACTCCTGGGCTCAAGGTCTTCTGCCTCAGCTCCGAGTAGCTGGGACTACAGGCATGTGGCACCATGCCGGCTAATTTTTTCTAATATATATTGTTGCAATTAATTTCTTTCTATTTTAGTAGAGACGGGTCTCGCTCTTGCTCAGGTTGGTTTTGTACTCTGAACTCAACTCACCTGCCTTGGCTCCAGAAGTGCTAGATTACAGGCATGAGCACCTCGCCGGCCTAAAATAAAGTTTTAAAAACCTAATAAGTAAGAAGATAAAGAGGTTTTTTAAAACATCAAATAGTGGTGGCTCATGCCTGTAATCCTAGCTTCTGGGAGGTGAGGGGGAGGATTGTTCAAGAGTCGGAGTTTGAAACTAGCCTGAGCAAGAACGAGACCCCGTCTCTACTATAAATAGAAAAATTAATGGCTACTAAAATACATAGAAAAAATTAGCTGAGCATGGTGGTACATGCCTATAGTCCCAGCACTCGGGAGGCTGAGGCAGAAGAATCGCTTGAGCCCAGGAGTTTGAGGTTGCTGTGAGCTAGGCTGATGCCATGGCACTCACTCTAGCCAGGGCAACAGTGTGATACTCTGTCTCAAAAAAAAAAAAAAATCAAATAGGAAATTCTAATTTTTTCCTGATTTTTCTCATGAGAAATGAGTGTGTGGGTGCATCTCCCCATCTATTGGGTTATCTTAAACTATTTTCACCTCCATCCTGCAATCCAGGACAGAAAGGAGGGATGAGGGAAAGGTGAGTCAAAGATTTTCTTTTACCTGCACCAGATGGCACCAAAGGCCTACTTGCTCAAAAATATGTACAATTCTCTACAGAGATTTTAAGTTCTAAAGCCCAGGATCCTTAACTGAACATTTGTAGTTAGGTTAAGCGTTGCACACAAAATAAATTCAGTTATAAAAATTTGTTGAACCCTTTAAAAGGGGATTGCTAATATACAATATGCTGCTGGGTACCTAAACATTAATAGAAAGTACACCTTGGAAAAAAGGTGTACTACTTACTGTAATTTGCTCACTCCCTCAAGTTCCCAAACTTCATGTAGGAGATGTCTGCTTTCTTTTTTCCAACATCTACATCCCCTGCATAGATTTGTTTTATGCCTGCACCTTTAATTAAAGGTACCATTCATCACATGGGCACTTTGTCACAAAATCATGCTTCTTCTGGTTTTATTTCTTGACACCTACAAAAATTATAAATATTAGGACGGTAGTTTCTGAAAAGGTAAGTATTTTTTTAGAAAAATATTTAAACACTCCAATTGAGCTGTTTTTAAAACAGAATTTATATAAACAACAATCATGAGCTTATCGATGAATTAGTGAATGTTCAAAATATGTAAATTCATAAAATGTTAGTATAGAACCTGAACATGACAATTATTATAACCAAAAATCATTTACTGATTCTAATGTAAATGTAAGATGTACATTACACTCTAATGTAATGTAAGATGCTCAGTATCAGATTACAAGTAAATGAAAACAGAAAGAGACAGACACCAAAGAGGGAGAGAGACAGAGATGAGAGAGAGACATAAGAAGGAAAACAATGCTTACTAAGTAAGTAAGTACCTCTTTATAATACTAGAATTAGAGATTAAAGCTAACACCCTCCTTAAGAGCTACCATGTGTGATCAGACATTAACTCATGGTAACCAAAAGACCTGGCACTATCTAGTACCTAATAGGTATTTAATAAATGCCTACTAATTAAATAAATTAATTTCAAAGTTTTGTTTTGAGTTATAGTTCTCTTACCTCTTCCCTATGATAGGATAATTTTATTTAAGAAAAGTTTGGACTTGACATATTTACACCTCTGTACAAAATACAGCAAGTAAATCTGTAACAAAGAGGACAAGGAAAAGAACAGAAGATTTTTGGTGAAATTTTGCATGCTGGGGGTAGTTCAGGACGAAGGGCTGCTCTCATCTGAGGCTATGAGGATTGACTTCCAGGTTCTGTGGTTTACACTGCTCTTGCCAGCTGTCTTCAATTCCCTCTCTGGCAGCCTTCCATATCCACCCGCCTAGTCGAGACTCCCATTTCTGTTCCCTTGGACTAGGGCAACAGAGTGCTAGGCATCAAGTCTGTTCAAACAATATCCCTGCTACCTACATGATCTACAGAGCATGGCTCTGTCAAAGCCTTCCGTTTCCCTACTACCAAATACAGCCTGAACTCAGTGTCTCCTCTTGTCCAGTCCCAGCCTATCATCGTGAGCTGCATTTCCCATGTGTCCACATTCCAGCCTAAATGGCATATTCATGTTCCTAAACACATGACGCATTTTCCTACTTCTAGACGACTGCTTATGTTGGAAGCAAGAATGGTCTTCCCTTCAAGGAAGCATCTCCAATTGCCACAGTCCTAGCGATTCTTTAAAGCTCAGCTCAAATGCCAGATCGTTCATAAAGCTTTTCCTCTGCACACCCCCTCTTGTCTACAGCAGCCCCTGAATGTCGGCGGCACTGTGTTTGCCTCTCCCACACAATCGGCCTGGTTATGTGGATGCAGTCTTATATCCCCTACTGCATTCGAAGCTCTACAAGGACAAGAGCCATGTCTTACTCAGTTTTTTAATCCCCTAACCTCTTCCCTTTAATGGTAAAGGCTGAGATGTGTTTGTGGAAATTATCTAAATTGACATCAGAAGGAGGTAATGTTATAATCTCTAACAAAAGCTCTTTTAAGGCAATTTGGTTCATAATGAAGTCTATGTACAGTCATGTCTCACTTAACAATGGGACCACGGTCTGAGAAATGTGCTGTTTGGTGATTTCGTTGTTGTGTGAACATCAAAAAGCGTATTTCTATAAACTTGGATGGTGTAGCCTACTACATACCTAGGCCGATATTGCTCCTAGGCTACACACCTGTATAGCATGTTATTGTTCTGAATACTACAGGCAATTGTAACACAATGGTATTTGTGTATCTAAACATAGAAAAGGTACTGTTTTGGCTGGGTGCGGTGGCTCACGCCTATAATCCTAGCACTCTGGGAGGCTGAGCCGGGAGGATTGCTTTAGGTCAGGAGTTCGAAACCAGCCTGAGCAACAGTGAGACCCCCGTCTCTACTATAAAATAGAAAGAAATTAATTGTCCAACTAATATATATAGAAAAAATTAGCTAGGCATGGTGACACATGCCTGTAGTCCCAGCTACCCAGGAGGCTGAGGCAGTAGGATTGCTTGAGCCCAGGAGTTCGAGGTTGCTGTGAGCTAGGCTGATGCCACGGCACTCACTCTAGCCTGGGCAACAAAGTGAGACCCTGTCTCAAAAAAAAAAAAAAAGAAAAGAAAAGGTACTGTTTCGTGATATGATGTTATAATGGTTATTTATGCCACTAGGTGACAAGAATTTTTCAGTTCCATTACAATCTTATGGGACCACTGTCCTATATGTGATCTGTGGTTGACGGAAACATTGTTGTGTGGTGCATGACTGAATTCATACATATAAATATATGTGCTACAGATTTAGAAATCAATGGAGATCTTAATATCCAGAAATAGGAGAGGCTGAGCAAGACCCCAAAGGACAAACTTTAAGCTTCAAAACTTTTATATTGGAAAGAGAGGGAAGAAAAAAAAGACTTAACAAGTTGGAAGGCCTGGAGAATCTATGACAATGGCCTCAGGTCTGGCAGTGAGGACCAAGCTTTAACAAAGCTATACTTCCCAAAAGAAAATTTCTTACAATTTGAAAAAGGAAATAAATTACAACTAAAAGAAAATGAATTTCAACAAACCCTTGCTACCACTTTAAAAGACTTATCATACCTAAATGTCAAGGCATTCTGTTCCGCATGTATAATGTATCTGAATTTCCTTATTTCTCTGTCTTTCTGCTTGTCATCCATGTGTGGGAAGTCAGCATACTCAGATCCAACAGGAAAAGCATTGTAACCACATCCTATGAAGTACATAGCACCTGTTCCATCACAACTTCTCTACGAAAGTGAGAAAACCAACAACCGTTAGTTTCAACATTCTGAAAAGGTAGTTTGCAACGTATTTTTAAAGCTTGCTATCATACTCTGTGTAATGAATATTCATTCAATTTTGTACGACTAACTGAGCCATCAAAAAACGTATACAATATCAGATCTTACTGCAGTGTAGTCTTATCAAAGCTAAATTCCAAGAAGGCTGATCCCCTCTCTAGTCTAAATCTCAAAGCAGTCCTTGGTTTTAGCAATTAATTAAGTGCTATCTTATTTAACTCACAAATTGTTTCACTTGATTCAGACATTTCCCCCCAGATGGATTATAAGACCCTGGAGAGCAGAAATCATGTCTTATACTTCTTTTCTATCCCTTAAAGTACACATATTAGACTGTTATGTACATAGCAAGGTACTCAATAAACGATTGTTACTTATATGCTCTGTGCTGTGCTACTGGTTAACAAGTTAGAAATTTTAAAAATACTTCAACAGACAATTTCTGTTGCTGGGCTAAAAATGTGCTATTGTAATTCAGTTCAAAAATAAAAAATGCATTTCCCTTTAATATTCAGTATTTATTTAGCCTCTATTCTATGTAATATATTATCACAGAACTTCTTACTTCAGTGGCTCTTTCTTATTTCTCTCAGTCAATGGCATATTAGTTGTTAATATGAATGCTTTATAGATCATTATAATGAAATATTTCATCAATGACAAGTTTACAATAGTTTGGAATATGCTATAAACCTCATTAAATTTCAATATATTACAATTACTCAAGTGATAATATCAACAGACTCATTACTGTAGCAGCTTAATAAAAATCATGTTATAGTGAGCCAACAAAAACCTGCCCAATAAAATGTTATCTAATTAATAAACCTGGACCATTGACTAAATGTCAAATATTATGCTTCATTTTATAAGTATTATTTCATTTGATGAATTCTCTAAACAACCTAGAGAGTAGTACTATTATTATCCCCATTTTACAGATAAGGAAACTGAGGCCAAGAGAGGTTAAATAACTTGTCCACAAAGCTTGATCCCAAAGCTAGTAAGTAACACAGCCAGAATTAAAGTCCAGGTTGCTTGACTCCGATCCATATGTCTTTCCACTTTACCATGCTGCCTGCCTACACTAGAGATAACAGGAAACTGAAATTCTCCACAGAGTAATGAAGAACCAGATGTTAAGCCAAAAGGCTGCTGAGCATTCCCTTTAACACAAATGAAAGTCCCAACCATAGGCCAGGCCCGTGGCAGGCACTGGGGAAACAGCTGTGCACAAGAGAAAAGAGTCCCTGCCTTCGTGAACCTTATTATCTGGGGAGGGTAAGAAACGGGACATATAACTTTAACTGTGGTGAGTGTCACAAATGAGTCGCACAGAATGCTATGGGGATTTCTGGCAGAGAATCTATTGTAGCAGGAGTTAACGGTTGGGGTAGAGATATGCAGAGTCAAGAGGTACTTTGAGGGTGGAATCTGTTGCATGTGGTGACTGATTGCCTGTGTGGATAACAGGGAGTGAGATGCTGACCACTGACGAAGGAGCAGGATAGCAGGGAAGATGCTGGATGTATTGGCTGGGTTAAACTCGAGGGCCTTATGAAACATCGAAGCAAATTGTCAGATCATTTGCTATAAAGTCCACTGAAGCAACACTTTGGCTCCTATTTCAGTCAGCTATATAGTTACTAAATACTTCCTGATTCCACGCCCTCCTAACCCATGCCCATAACTCCAAGTCCTCATCATCTCTTTTTTATTAATCTATTTCCTGTCTACCCACTTCATTCTTTTTATAATGCAAATCTGATCAAATCAGTTTCCCACTTAAAATATTTGGACTACATTGACCAATACAGTCACCACCATCCACATGTGGTTAGTCTAGAGAGGTGCCAAAAAGTGTAAAATACACAAAGAATTTTGAAGATTCAATACCCCAAAAATGCAGAAATCCAAAAAATAAAGAATAAAAATTTGTATTAAAAATTTATATATTGATTACATGTTGAAATAATAGTTTTGGACTTTTAAAAAGCTTTTTACATGTGGTTCCTAGAAAATTTAAAATTCTGTATGTGGCTTGCCTTTTATTTCCACTGGTTAGTGCTGTGCTAGGACACGCCACTGTCTAAAGTCCAAAGTCTCCACATGGGATACAGAGCTCTTCATGGCCCAGTCTAATTTGTTGCCTACTATACATACAGCTCTGAACTCCAACATGCCGAATCACTGGAATCTTCCCAGATTCTTTCGCCCCTACCTATGCATGTTATCTTCCCACCTCTACTAATTTGCTCTGTCTGATGAATGCCTCTCATTCTTCAAGACCAATCTCTTACTATTGGCAAGAATATTTCACTCATTTCCTCAAGAAGAGTAGAGATTTTTAGTCTATGTTTTCACAGTATTGGTTATATAATAATTACACTTATAGACAAGTCTCTTTTTAACTTCTCTGTCTCCATCACTAGACTATGAGGCCATGAAAAGCAGAAAATGTGATCTTTAAAACCTCAATGTGCACTGTGGCACAGTGCCTCACCTGTAAAGTTGTTTAATAAAGGTTTGCTGAATGAATGCATCTATCTAGAAAATTGTTGAGGGAATGAGCAAATGTTTATAGAGTACATGCACTATTACAAAAATATTAATCTCAATGGATCAGTAAAATGTCATGCACTGAAGACTGAACTATGTTTACACAAAATCCAGGTTAAATATATAAAGATTTATTTTCATACTTACAGATCTCCCTTCTGCCCAAATGACTGCTCCAACTCCTGTTTTATGATCCTCTGAAAGATATATGGCATTTAACTCAGCAAAACCAATGATCTGTTAGTTTCAGAAATACATTTTTCCAAAAACAATAAACATTTACTGAAACATATTTCATAAATGTAGCATCAATCCTTGACATCTTCACTAAGTGTAGACAAGTAAATAAAATAAATATTACAATAAAATATTAAAATAAAATAAGTATTAAAATAAATACTTTGAAGTATACAACATGGGAGCTAGGTGCCAAATAACTAGACAGGATCGCATGTGACGTGTATGTGGAGGGTAGTGGAGATGGCATGGCCCACAGTCAGTTCTCTTCAAAGTTGTCACTAAGTGCAACTTCATTGATTCTCCACTAGCAAGTCAATTTCTAAATGACTACTTCTATAGATGATGAAATCTAATAAAGGTTTCTGAACTTTATGTATTTCATATAGTAACTGTTCACAACAACCCAATTTGTCTTCTCCTAGGATTTTCTACACTCTAATCATGGGAAAGACATTTTATGGAAATGTTCTTGCTAAGAAAAAAAGTCCAAACTTCTAATACAAACATAAACAAATCTTTTTTTTTGACTATAGTAATCATTTCATTATGTATACATATGTCAAAACATATTGTACACCTTAAATATATAAAACTTTTATTAAAAATTATAATTTAAAAACTCAGAAAAATTTCTATGAGTTCCTTGTCCAAATTTCAAATTTTTCAATTTCTTAGAGATAAAAATATAGAATCCAAGTGTATCATATTTTAAAAACTCTGATAGATTTTAACAAATTGTTTTCTATCCCAAAAGATTAGATCAATCTGTATTTGAAATAAAAATAGTATATAAAATTTTCACTTTCTTATATCTAATTAAACATTGGGTAACATCACTAAAAAGAATAGTAAAAGCATTTTTGTCAATCTGATGGGGATGGTATTTTGTTTTGCATAAACAAATCTTTATGGACTTTCCTATCTATCTATCTATCTATCTATCTATCTATCTATCTATCTATCTATCTATCTATCACTAGAAGGTACATGAAGAGACTTTTTTTATTTTTATTTTTACTTTTTGAGACAGAGTCTCACTCTGTTGCCCGGGCTAGAATGAGGTGGCGTCAGCCTAGCTCACAGCAACCTCCAACCCCCAGACTCAAGCGAGCCTTCTGCCTCAGCCTCCCAAGTAGCTGGGACTATAAGCATGCACCACCATGCCCGGCTAATTATGTCTATATATATTTTTAGTTGTCCAGCTAATTTCTTTCTATTTTTAGTAGAGACAGGGTCTTGCTCTTGCTCAGGCTGCTCTTGAATGCCTGACCTTGAGCAATCCTCTCACCTTGGCCTCCCAGAGTGCTAGGATTACAGGAGTGAGCAACCACACCTGGCCAAGGGACTTTTGATTTAAACAAAATGTTGTCCTTTCCCTGACCTTCAGTTTACCCTGAGAGGGAAAAGAATACCAAGCTATGCTCATTTCTAAATCAAGTGGCAGAAGTTAGAAACAAACGTAAGATTATAATTTCCCTGCAGAACCAAAACCTCTGCAACAAGTAAAGCTGTACTTCTTAAAACCATCAATCTGAAACAAAATATAAAAAAACAAAATAGAAATTCTACATATTAAGAATCTACTTTTGCCTTCTACACAAGGTTGAGTTTCAAGTTTCTAAGACAAATATATGCTCATTATGAAGACCATATATTTATTAAAATCATTATAAGGGACTAATGCGAATTTACCCTGCAGCATTTTCATATTGGGGAGGATTAAGTGAAACTGGGGCTTCACCCTAAAATTTCCTAAAAGTTAATGCTTCCAATGATGACATTTAAATACCTACTTTTCAAGAAAAATACAAAGAAAATCTGTGCCACAACTGCATTAAAAACTAGGACACCTAATAAATAAGTTAACCTTAAAAAAAATTTCCCGTTTCCAGTTCAGGTAAGCTTAGGTTTTCAAAATTATACCACAAAGCGTTGGTATAATTTATTTTAAGCACTTTTTATCCATGATCTCATTTTTACCCTACAGGTAAAGCAGATAAAATTTCCATTTCTAGATGAGAAAACACACAGAAAAATTAAGTGACTAAAACTTAGCCCTCCAGATCCAACCTCCTCGCCTTTCCTCCACCCGACCCTCTGACATCAAGAATTCCTTAACGAGGACGTCCACGCATTGAGTGCCTCCCACGTGCCAAGCACCGTGAGAGGCTGAGTATTCAGAGCTGAAGCAAACAGTAGTCCCCATCCTCACGCAACTTACAGCTGGATGGGGGAACAGCATAGTGACAAGGAAACAAGCAATCCATATGTGCTGCGCTCCGAAGGAAATGAACTTGATGCTGAGGGGTAGAGTACACAGGATGACTTACTCCTATAGAGTGGAGGGAAAAGGGATTTTGGTGTAAACAAAAGTTTGTTCCTTCCTAGACCTATAGAGTTTAACATGAGGGGGAAAGAGTGTAAATCAATTGCTTTATGCACATATCTAAGGCAAGTGGCAGAAGTTATAAACATAAGATTGTATTTGCTTATAAAACTAAAACTTTTACTGCAAGTAAAGTTTTACTTAATTCACGCATAAATCTGAGGTGGCAAATGAAAAACTAAAATAGAAATTCTTCATATTAAGAGCCCACTCTTCCTACCACCAACACTAAGTATTTTTCAAGTTATGTTTTCTTACTCTCAGGAGCCACTATTTCTGTTTCAGTCTAGGGACAGACTAAACCTTGTCAGGAGGGGGAAAAATGTGAATTTTTCCATCAGCTTGCAGCTCTCCTGCCTAGCTAAAGTTAGTTATGCCATGATAATATTCTCTACCGGTTATCATTTCAAATAGGAATAAATTTTCATCCATATCAAATGAAGTCCATTTCATCCAGCCCCAAGGCTGGTGACAGACTGACGTAATTCCTCAAACATTTTTTTATGTCTGTAATTTTTACAGAAACTATGATCTGGACATTCACAGGGTTTTCTCTGTACAACTCTGAAGGAAAGGTCAACAATGATCACTGAGCCAAATTGCTGGGCTCTTTGATCACTGGAAGTCAGAGAACTCTGTGCTCAGGAACACAGGCGTGTGGTTACTTTAGCTCCCAATCTTGTGGTCATGATGGTGTTTGTCAACTTCCATTGACCACTTGCATCAAATAGCCAGATGCTTGTTAAAAAGGTAAACTCTTGGCTTCCATGGAGATCCGCCAGATTAACCTCTCCGAAGGATGTGGGCAGGGCTTGGGGAATCTGCATTTTTCATGTGCTCCCCCTTTGATCCTTAGGCATACCAACACCTGGGACTCACTTGAGTTATGACTTAAAACAGTTCACTTTCTTGGCTACTCCAATCTACTTTCATCAGTACTGTAATCCAGGAGGAAGACAATCCTTAGCTTTGGAAAACACCTACTCTAGTGGGGAAAACAGGACAGAAAAAGAGGTCAAAACTCAATCCTTAACATAGGTAGATGTGATGCCCTTCTACTCTTTTCTCCCAGAAGAGTCTAAACATTTTGCACTTTTTGGGCCGCGTCAGGTATTCTAGAAACATACTTTTAATGACAGCTCTGTAGGTCCTCTTTATTCATCATTCGAAAAGCAATTCCAAGCACCCACTTTCAATTATTTTTAGAGGTTTCAGAATTCATTTTAATCATATGTATATTCTTGAACGACATGGTCTAATGAAATGGCATCTTCATCTATTAGTTAGGAAGAAATAAAGTCATCAAACCAAACTGAAGAGTGTGAAATTAAAAACTTGAGTAACCAGATACACAACATATCATGGGGATCTCCACCTTGCTGGATTGCCCTCAATGTTAAGTGAGGTATGTATGGAAACCACATCGCTCAGTGCCCGACATAGTAGGTGCTCAGTAAATTGTCATTGTTATTAATCATCAATGAAGAATTACAGATCCAGAATTCCTTATCTGAAATCCCTTACAGCAAGTTTTTTTGAACAGTTTGATGTACTTTCGTGGCCAAACCTGACCCAAATTGAGTTTTTTATAGCCCTTAATTATTAATGCCAATATTCGTATTTTTTTTTACTCCGTATGTATTAATGTGTCTGATTATAGAGCACTGTCCCAGACCCCACTGGGAGTGCTATGTTCCATATTACCTTTTTAAAATCTGAAAGATTCTGAATTTCTTTTCATCTGGCCCCAACGGTTTTGGATAAAGGATTGCGGACCATTCATCTTTGGCTATAAAATATTTTTTAAAGTGCAGTGGCAACATTATAGCTTACTGCAACCTCAAACTCCCAGGCTCAAGTGATCATCCTGCCTCAGTCTCCCAAGTAGCTGGGACTACAGACACATTCCAGCACGGCCAGCTATTTTTTTGTATTTTTGGTAGAGACAGGGTCTCGCTTCTGTTCAGGCTGGTCTTGAACTCCTGACCTCAAGTGAGCCTCCCACTTTGGCTTCCCAGAGTGCTAGGATTATAGTCGTGAGCCACCATGCCTGGCAAAAAGATTTCTTTTATCTACTCAACACATATTGTGTTTAGTGCTAAGGGAAAAACAATGATTAAGACATGGTTTATTTCCTGGATGAGCACATAGCAGAGTGGAGTGCATGACAGCAGAGTTGGATCCTATTCAAGATTTGAGTTCCAGGTAAAAAATCATCTACAAACCACCCTGAAAAATCTTTTAAACTGCCTATCAAATACGTAAACATAGCTTTAGGTACAAAACTGTGCATAGTAATAGGATAAATTTAAAATATAACTATAGAGTATCTAACAAAGAATATATACACAAATTTATATCTGTACCTTTGGTATTCCTTTTTCTTCTTAACCCCCCTCCCCATTTGCACACTAATATATATATATTGCATCTTAAAACACTAGAATTACAGATGGTATGATGAGGTGTTCTATGAGAAGCAAGAGGTACTGAGATCAAGCAAAAGAACAGCAGATTCACATCTCCAAACTTACTCTGGACCATAGGGTTCTGCTGAACTCTAATCAGCGAAGGGAAATTAGTGAATTATATCTATAACAGCTGTTCCCATTTATTTTCTGTCTTTTTGAATGGCTTATGGAAAAATTCTTTACAAAGCAGGAGTTGGCAAAGAGACTAATATATAACCCACAATATAATTACATTAACTCAGATGTTTACACAATACTGTTATTGCAGTCATACAATTTGTGGCTATAGAATCAAATTCTTTAATAACAATTGAGGGATCATCAACCCTGATGAATGTCAGAATACCTTGCAGAACTTTTAAAAAAACAAATGCGCATTTCATACTTTGTTAGGGACTTGGTTTAATAGGTCTGGGTTAAAGTTTGAGCATCTGAACTTTTTAATGATGATTCTGATATGCTACCAGCTGAGAAGTTCTATTCTACTGAATTTACTTTGACAATATTTTTACTGTAAAGATTTTTTAAAGTTTTTATTAATATTGCAAACAAAATATTGAAGAGTTAATAAAAATGATTTTGGTCCTTTCTCCTTTCTCTTTTTGTTCTATTTTTAGCGAAGAGCTCAATGAACAGTGAAATTGCATATTCAGGCCCTGATTTATAAATATAGTACTGAATATAAGGAATCCTAAAACTGCTAGAAGAAAGAGTTGTCCACTCAAGGGAACTCTAAAGCTGTTAGAAGAAACAGCTGTCCACTCAAGGGTCTAACTTGTCTATATTGTATGAACAGCAAAATTTAGCATCTAAGAGTAAATGAACTCTGTCATAGATGAGATGAACACTCTAGAGACAAATCCAACCCAACCAATCAGCCCCAATTTATGAACTAAGCATATAACTCACCAGTTCGATATGCCAATAACCTGGCCTGAACCATGCAGTGCCTTGCAATTTCTTGTGGCAAACTTTGATTGTGAATTTCATTAATTTGTCCTGGATTGCTACAATAAAATCCGAAGTGTTTAAAGTTGGGCACACTGGAAGCTACTGTGGCCAAAAGTAGGATAAGGTCTTTCATGTTTTGCCTTAGATTGCTAAAGTATGGATTTTCACACAGGTTCTCCAAACCTATAGTCATCAGTATTTGCTTATGCATTTCTTCATTTGAAACCAAAAATAACATTTCATATTCTTTTATTCTTTCTTGTTTACATTCAGAATAAAAGTCAATGTTAGCATCCGGCAATATTTTTGCAATTTTTTGAATAAAGTCACATTTGTAAGAGGTCTCCTCTACAAACTGCATCATATAACACACCACAGGCTGAAGTAAGACACACACATGGGCTCGACTGTTTGACTTCAATCTTTCCACTGCTTTGGCATCTAACTTTGCATCTTCAGAACTAGAAGCCTCAGTAAGCAAACTTATTTCTGGATCAGCAGGCCAATATGAAATTCGGTTAACTCCAGCTGAAATACAAAATATAAAAGGCAATTATCTGATACATGTTAGATTTAGAGTTTTCTTGATAAATCCACCCTATCATTGCAGTAGATCTAAAGACTCCAATACAATAAATGGCTATTATCATGTCACCTACTATATAGTCCAAGGGTTGACAAATTACCACTCACAGGCCGAATCTGGGTGATTGCTGGTTTTTGTACAGCTCACTGGTTAAGAGTGGGTTTTGCATTTTCAAATAGAGGAACAAATCAAAAGAAGAATATTTTGTGGCATATGAAATAATTATGGGAAATCCAATTTTCGGTGTCCATAAATAAAGTTTTACTGGCATAGACACACCTATTTATATACATAGTCTTTGGCTGCTTCTGCATGGCAGTTGAGCAGCTGCAACAGACACTATATGGCTTGCAAAGCCTAAAATTTTACTATCTGGCCTTTTCAAGAAAAAGTTAGCTGACCTCTAACAGATCCCATGGGAAGGTGTTTGTGGAATCACTAGTTTTGCTAAGTGTATCCCAAAGGTCAGTGCTAGTATATACCGGAGTCCTCCATGGTTAATTTTCAAAATATTACAGCTGGCAACTGATATTGTCTAGAGTTTTGTATCTGGAATAAGCAATTCATTCATGCATTAAAAATGTTCCTCTCCTCTGATTCAGAATTCTTCTAAGAAGCCATTCTAGGAAAATATTCTAAATAGAAAAAAATCATGAACGCATGTTTAGTATAGCATTCTTTAAAACAGTAATAACCCTAAATGACCAAAATAGGGGAATGGTTAAATAAATTATGGCCCTCCTCATAATAAAATATATTGACAATGTCCACAAAGAATTTATAACATGGAAAAATTCTTATGTGATGTTGGGGTGGTGGTGGTGGGGCAATATTTACTTTTTTCAAGTCCACAAAATTAAAGACAAAACAACAAAGGGAACATTTTTCAATCAATGCGACAGAGGAAAGGTTAGTAATCTTTAATATACAGAAAAGATTTTAATTCATTAAGAGCACATATGAATTGACAAAAACAATAAGGCCTCAAGAGAGACAAAAGATATGAACAATTTACAAAAGAGAAAACATAACTGGATAACAAACATGAAAAAATATTTTAATTTGTATTTGATATTGAATGATAAGATGCCTTATACATAGTTAAGCATACAAATGTTCATAAATTAATGAATAGTTTACAACAAAGAGACCCCTTGGGCAGTATCTCACGTAATTCATGTAATATCAGCTAGGAGAGACTTTTTGTGTGTGTGTGACTGAGCCCAGAAGCAAATAGACAGATAGCCCACAGAGTGTTCTAACCTTCAAAATAATAGATGAAGTAAAAAGTCTAAGTTAAACAAATGGACATTTCTATCTATTTCCTGCTACTCCTGACTCACTGTGGCTTGCACTGCAAAGCAATTTTGAAACCCTCATATCACTCTGGTTGCATTGCACCTTCCCTCTGTCTGAGTTCTCATAATCCGTTTCCTAACCAGCAGTGACAGTGAACCTTTCATCTAAGTATCTTATTTGTTCCCAATAATCCTTGATTCAAGAAGAGAAGATGAATACTTTTAAGACAAACATTCACATACTAGTGGCAAATGCTCCAGCAGAGGTTCTCAAATTTTTTGATCTCAGGATCCCTTTACACTCTTTAGAATTTTTAAATTATTTAGGAGCCCAAGGAGCTTAGTTTATATAAAATATATCTATTGATATTTACTAAATTAGAAAATTAAAACAAAATATTAAAGAATTTATTAACCATTAAAATAACAATAAGCTATTATACATTAGAATAAATAACACTTTATGGAAAAAAACCTGTATTTTCCAAAACAACAAAAATTAGTGAGAAAATGGCATTGTTTTAAATTTTTACAAATATCTTTAATATTTAGCTTAAAAGACAAAAGCAGGATTCTCAAATCTGCTTCTGCTTTCAATTTGTTGCAACAGGTTGTGTTCATTTAACTATATGAAAAGTATCTGGCTGCATACAGATATACAGTCAAAAAACGAGTATTTTTACAGCCATTTCAGATAACTGTGAATGTTCTTCCTTAACATTACATAAAAATTTGACAAGAGAGAGTTTCTTAAAGGTTACTTACAATGTGGAATCTGAAACCATCTCAGCAAACTTAAGCATGATTTTGTAGATTGTGCATTGGTCATTTGGAAAACAATGATTTACTGATTTTAAACTATTTTTATAAATCCCAATCATTAATATCGCCACCAATCTCATCAAAAGAGTCTAAGTATTGCAAAGCTGTCAAGCTCACAATATTGGATATGAGTTTTCTGAAATTCTAATTTTCACTTGAAAGCTCAAATTTTATCACTGGGAACAAATACTATCAGTTGTTTTCCCAAAAGTGGCAGGATTACTTCATTTATGAGAAAATATTTGCCAAACACCCAAGTCTAAATAACCTTAGTTTATCAGTTCATGGTGTTTGTAGCAAAAGTGCTTTATGCCCTCCTGTTTCTTCACACAGAATATTAAAAAGATGTGTATGCAAGGATTAGGACTTAATAAAATTAGTAACTTTTACTGTCTCATCAAGGATATCCTTATGTAACATATATATATTTTTTAATATTCCTAGTGCAGGGAAGAGTGCAATGATGACCAGCACAGTTTGGCACCACTGCCTTGATTCATAATAGTGCAACAGTAGTTTCACCTACCATTGTTTTGGTACCATTAGTGTGTATGTAGTGTTATCATGAAAATAGTAGTGACCTCGAAGACCAACAAGAGTCCACAGACCTTTTGAGAACCACTGTACTACAGAAATGTCTGCTTTAACTGAGGTTAACAGTAATTGTAACTAATTTAGCTGTAGCATGGAGTTCAACCATGCCCCCTTCCCAGGATAACTAAATAGCACATAAGCCTCATCTAACGTAGCAATTTTGTTTATAAAGGGGTCTCACACCAACAAGAAAGCATTTCCATTGTAGGGCTTTCCTGATTTCCCACACTTTATTATCTCTCTTGCTAGATTGAAATGTCTTAACTCAAAGACATCAAACAGTGATGATTTCCCTGCATTCCCCCATTCTTCTCGCTCATTCATGGCTCTGAGGCTATTAAGAGTGCTTTCAGTACAGTCAGCTTGACACAACACACAGCCATCTTTTATTCATTCTTCTCTCTTGACTCTAGAACAGATCAGTCAATAAATGCTTTGGTTCTTTCACATACTTTCCTTTATATATCAATGCCACTATGTGAACCCTATTTTATACCCTGCCTAATGCAATAGTTTACTAATCAAGCTCTCAATCTCTAATTTCTCCCTGCTCCAATTCAATAACAAAATTTAAATCCTGTTACATCCTTCTCAAAAATCTTCAGTGGCTCCACATTATTTATAAAAAGGAATTTTAGGTCAGTTAAGCACAGTGATAAAATGAATAGCCAATCTGCCTGGTTAATTGGGAAAAGGAAAAAAAATTGCTGCTACTACTATCATGCCCATCTTCTCTATTTATTGGTAACTGCAGCTGAGAGATTATATTATAGAATCAAATCACTATCATAGATACCTATCTGCTTGAAATTACTTGTTGTAGGAAGGAAGCTTCTAGCTATGTGACCCATTTCTTCTATAAGTTCTGCCACTTGTAGCTCAAGGCATTGACCTCAACACAGATCTAATCATTACTCTTAAGACTCTGATGTAGGCTGGGCACGGTGGCTCACACCTGTAATCCTAGCACTCTGGGAGGCCGAGGTGGGAGGACTGCTTGAGGTCAGGAGTTTGAAACCAGCCTGAGCAAGAGCAAGACCCCGTCTCTACTAAAAATAGAAAGAAATTAATTAGCCAACTAATATATATAGAAAAAAATCAGCCGGGCATGGTGGCGCATGCCTGTAGTCCCAGCTACTCAAGAGGCTGAGGCAGGAGGATCGCTTGAGCCCAGGAGTTTGAGGTTGCTGTGAGCTAGGCTGACGCCACGGCACTCACTCTAGCCTGGGCAACAAAGTGAGACTCTGTCTCAAAAAAAAAAAGACTCTGATGTAAATAAAAATAGCTCTTCTTCAAAACAGGTGTAGCAACTCTGTCGTATAAGATAAAGCCAAAGCCTATACAGTTTTTCAAATTTCTCTACTAAAGCCCCAACCTATCATTATAATCCATCTGCCACTATTCTCCAAGAACAATCCTCTGTTTCAAATTCTGACCCCAGAACTTTGCTTCTTATACAACTTGATGACTCCACATGTGCTGTTCTCCTAACCAGGAATGTGTTTCTCTTCCCTGACATCTGACCCGTTAGGATCTAGCTTAAGCGCTAGCCTTTCACAACATGCCAATCTTAAAGGATCACTGTTTTCTCTTCTGAGATCACATATGACTTATCACTCATTTGGTACTAGATGATGTGTTACATTAAATTGTTATTTTGGACTCTAAATACCACCTTCAGGAAAAGGATTAGGGACCACGTTAATTTTTTTTTTTTTGATATGCCATGGTGCCTATGTACAAGATACATGTATTTTATTTTAAATGGAAGAATGGGTTGCATACTTACCTAGGCACAAAATATAATCATAAGCATAAACAATTTTAGTGGGTAACCTATGTGGCAGAGATGGATGGCTAAACATTAAAAATCTGTGCTCCTCCTCCCAAAAGTACATAGCAGTCATTGGAACACAGCTGCCCAGCCCGGGACTACAGTTCCCACAATGGATGTGCATGGAAATGATGTATGTGACTTCTAGCCAGGTATGTCCTCTCTATTCTCTCTCAGTCTGCCTCTGGATGCAGAGGACCAAGGCCCTAGAAGTGATAATACAATAAGACAGACAAGGCGTATGCCCATGAATCAGCCACACGGAGAAAAGTCACCTGCTGTTCAGCAACACATGCATTGGACTAGTATACAGGTGATAAATATCCAGAATCCTAAGCTACTGAAATTTTAGGGTTTAACTGTTAAAGCAGCTAGCATTAATCTACTAATACACTGAGGGTCATTTAACTAATGAGTGCACAGGGTTGAGACTAGAATCCATGTTTTCTGATTCTTCCTCTTACAATATGTCAAACTATCTTCTGATATGTATTTATATTTCTAAATTATCTCTGTGGCAAATTTGTTCCTACTGATTGCTCTCAGATACATGTTCTTAATTTCCAACAAAGCCTAATCTGCACTTACCATTTACAATCATTTTCAAACAAGCAGAACATGGTTTTCTGGAAAAATAAAGATCACAGTTTTTCAACTTTGACCCATGTTTAATAAGAGCAATTTGCCCAGCATGTAAATCTTCACTAGAACAGTGGAGACCAACAATTTTCATGTTTTTCACCACCACAAGACCAGTTCTCTTCACCTACATTAAGATACAAAATAATAACTTATTAGTTATAATATCTAGTGATCACATCATGGATTATACTTGATTTATTAATAAAATGAAAGTTTAGTACTTTATCTGAAGAGTTTGTATGAAAGCATATTTCTCATTAGGTTCAAAACAATTTCTGAAAGTTTGGTGTTGACTTTATACCAGAAATCTGTAGACCTACGCTCTATGAACCAGACAATTAAGCATGCAATTATTAATTTGTTCTAGTCAAAGATGAATGCATTTTAACCAAGCAAGGGGCAAGAACCAGGTCAATTTAACTTGTTTCTTACAGCTGCTATTCTAGGATTATTTAGCCTTAAGCTTCTAGAAGGTAATGAAGAAAAATTTCAAAAACCCTGATTATATACTTGGATAAGTAAAGCCCAGAGAATTTACATGACTTCCTGAAAAACTCATAGATGGCAAATGGCAAAAGACAAAAACTAAAGCGTTAAGTCATATTAAATTCTAAAATATTTTAAATATTGACTAAAATAAAGGTAATTCTCAACTTCTAAAAAACTAGCTGTACTAATTTTTAGCACTATGGCAGTCTAGACTAACATAGTTGGGTCCCACCTACTACAAATATATAAATAATTTATAACATCAAAGAAAGGGAAGATACACGCTCAGGTGTCAGAAAGGAAGAGAGCACTCAATGATAGCAGAGAGCTTGAGCTGCCTTAGCAGTACTCCACTGAGAGGGAACTGGGTTTATCCTGATTTAAGCCTTGTAGGCTGGGAACTGACTGGGTTCTAAAGAGTTTCCATGGACCTCTTTGACTGAAGGTTTTCTGTTACTTTGAACCTAAAGTGTCCCAACTTATGCAAATACTAATCAAAAAAGCTTGTGTAACAATATTAATATCAGATACAACAGATTAAGGTAAAAAAAAATCAGTTCTACGCAAAGCACAAAATAGGCTATGCTGTTCTCATAGCAAAAGATTCTGAAGCAAGAATGCAAACCTGATCCTGCTTGGGACTGAATGTCACAACATGAGGGGAACCTGGGCTGAGGATAGGGTGTCCCTTATCTCCCTCAATCCCCTTCCAAATGGATTTTACCCTATACTTACCCTCCAGTACAACATATCTGCAATCATTTTAAGGATCAAACCAAAGCTATATTAACTAAAATAGTCAAGTTTCAGGTTCAGTTATGAGTATAAATGTTTGAAACTATGAAGAATGATATTTTGCGAAGTGCCTAAAAAGAAAGAACACAGATGATTTTATGGAATTCCCTTTCTGAGTTAATCGCCCATCTCCTAAACTATAAGGACATTTAAAAGGAATACAGGCTGGGCGCAGTGCAATGGCTCACGCCTATAATCCTAGCATTCTGAAAAGCCAACGTGAAAGGATTCACATGAGGCCAGTAGTTCGAGACCAGCCTGGACAACATGACAAAACTTCATCTCTACAAAAAATTAAAAAAAAAAAAAAATCAGCTGGGTGTGGTGGCACGTGCCTGCAGTCCCAGCTACTTGGGAGGCTGAGGCAGAAGAATCTCTTGAGCTCAGAAGTTTGAGGTTGCAGTGAGTTGTGATGATACCACTGTACTCTAGCCCAAGCAGCAGAGTAAGACCCTGTCCAAAAAATAAAAGTAAAAGCAATACAAAAATCTTTCCTTTACAGGGGTCCTCAAACTTTTTAAACAGGGGACCAGTTCACTGAACCTCAGACCGTTGGAGGGCCAGACTATAGTTTAAAAAAAACTATGAACAAATTCCTATGCACACTGCACATATCTTATTTTGAAGTAAAAAAACAAATGGGCAAAATCACCCACATGTGGCCCTCGGGCCGTAGTCTGAGGACGCCTGCTTTACAACATATATACTAAGAATATATCTAAAATATGAAAAATATGGTTTTTAAGATAAGCTTTAAATTTACCTTAATATTGTGAATTTGTTCCTCCCTCCCCATCCTAAAATCTCTTAGAGTTTTACACTCCTCAAATACAAAGCATATGTTATTTTCTACTTCTGAATACTTCCAGCAAGTTTTATTTATTTTTTTAAATGGTCACTTTGGAAAAGAACTGATGATGCCTTATGACCAGTGGAAGTGGCTGCAACCAAATGATTTTAGCATTAGACTAAGTGGTTAAGCAGACAGAAAGAAAGTCAGAAAGCTTGTCCACAAAAGACTTTAAAAAAAATTGTTCCTAAGGAATGAGTAACATATTCATCAATATATTTTTTATTAGAACAACCTTTTGGGCCAAATTATCCTTTTTTTTTTGGTCTAGCATCCCTTTTACCTCAGGAAAAAAAATTTTTTTTCATTTTACTTCTGGCTAGGGTCAAAATATCAAGTTTGAGACAAAGACTTTTTCAACCCAAACTTAACAAAACAAATAAAAGCCTAAGTTGCATTCCATTTTGGCACTTCCACTTACTGCAATTCCCAGAGGACTGCATCTTTTCAGTGAATCACTGTTCTGGATCTTGATTTTACTTTACTTCACTAACATCTTGGCAAGTCATCTATGTAATACTAGTCACAGAGTTTTACATTAAAACATTGGCAAAAGAGAACAGTTTGTTTTGTAAATAAACTAGTACATTTACTTAAATGATGATTCACTATTTTTCCCTTTGTCTTTTTTTTTTTTTTTGAGACAGAGTCTCACTTTTGTTGCCCAGGCTAGAGTGAGTGCCGTGGCGTCAGCCTAGCTCACAGCAACCTCAAACTCCTGGGCTCAAGCGATCCTCCTGCCTCAGCCTCCCGAGTAGCTGGGACTATAGGCATGCACCACCATGCCCGGCTAATTTTTTGTATATATATTAGTTGGCCAATTAATTTCTTTCTATTTATAGTAGAGACGGGGTCTCGCTCAGGCTGGTTTTGAACTCCTGACCTTGAGCAATCCGCCTGCCTCGGCCTCCCAGAGTGCTAGGATTACAGGCGTGAGCCACCACGCCCGGCCCCCTTTGTCTTTCTTATAATGAAAACATCTAAATAATCTGAGACCAATTATTTCTATATTCTTGTTGGGTATTTTAGAGACTCACTCTCAGAACTAACCAGGAAATCTCTAGGAATATACATCAGAATCACCAAAGTAACTCTTTTCAAAATATACATGCTTAGTCTCCACTCCACACCCAATGAATTGAGATCTCTGGAAAATTCAAAAGAGTAATGTAACAAGCAAATAGTATGCAATATTGAAAAGTACAAGATTCATCTTTCAGGTCTGGGCTTTGATTTTACCCAGCTTACCAACTAATTAGTTAACCTATTACTGTTTCGTGGATATTAGCAGAAGACATGAAACTCCTGGGTCAGAAACAAAGGACTTATTATTCACAGCACAGCAAGCAGTATGACTATCATGCATGTAACTGATTACCCCTCAAGCCCCATGAGGGGTAATCTAGATGGGCACAGATGGCTGCCTGGACACACAGTGGGTTATGTTATAGGAGAGGAACACTGAGCTTGGGGATCCTGCCACTTCATAGCAAACAGTAAGCCAATTTGCTCTTTGTCCTGGAGGGAAACATTACCTCAACTCTCAAGGATGCTCACTGTAAATACAACTCTGAGAAACAGTCCAATAAAGAGCAGTTAGGACTCTGCATTCTTGGCATAACCAGCAGGATGTGTGGTAGTGTGAGAGAACTAAGGAAGAGTGTTTCTCAATGCATCTATACAAACTAATATTAGAAGGTGCCAAGAGTTAATTTGAAAATTAAAAATAAAAAAGCAAGATGTAGGAGCATATCACAGACAAATCCCATCTGTACTTTTCTTTTTAAAAAGGAGAGACATATAGTCTTGTAAAGGAACTGAATATTCTTAGAAGAGTATATAAAAGAACTCCCTTGGAAATAGGAATGGGGAGCTTGAATATAGGATGGACTTTTATTCTACTTTATACTATTCCTTTTGCTTTGTTATTATGAGCATGTATATCTTTTTTAAAAAATCATACAAATTCACCTGTTTTCTGTCAGCAGATACTCTGGCCACCTCTTCATTATCTCCTAAGGATCCATGCTTTTCCTCTTCATTTTTCTAATAAATATTAAAGGGAAAAAAGATTAGTACATAAGACATATGATTAATTCAATATTCCCACATTTAAAGGCTGGTTTCCTTGGCTTTGGACCACTCTTTTTTTTTTCCTTAATGGAACTCTGCATTGATTTCCCACTTTTCTCAGGATCAAATTCAGACTACTTCACCTACTAAATAAGGCCTTTATAAGCTAGCCCCTGTGTAGTTTTCCAAAACATAGAAGGATTAAAAATGGTGATATAAAATTAAATTCTGAAGTTTCAGATTTCAGAATTGGGGCAGTTTTGAGCAATGGAAAAGTTTAAAATGTGGCCATGAATGACGAAAGTAGAATAGAAGTAAATCAACTGGAATTGAGAAGATAAGGAATTATGGAGCAAAGGCATCAGATATGGACTGTAGTAGGCAGAATAATGCCCCCTCCCAAAGACCTCCCTGTCCCAGTCTTTGGAACTTATAACTGTGTTATATGTTACACAGCCAGGAATTAAGGTTATAGTTGGAATTGAGGCTGCTAACCATCTACCTTAAGATGGGGAAATAATACTGGATTACCCAGTGGGCCCAAGGTTATCACAAGGCCCACTGTAAGTGAAAGAGGGAGGCAGGAGAGTCAGAGTGAGTGACACAACATGAGAAAGGCTCAAGGCCATTGCTGGCTTTGAAGATGGAAGGGAAACACGAGCCAAGGAATGCAGGCAGTCTCTAGAAGCTAGTAAAGGGAAAGAAACGGATTCTCACCTAGAGCCTTCAGAAGGAATTAAGCCCTTCTGACACTTTGGTTTTAGCCCAGTGAAACCTATTTCAGAATTTGACCCACAGAAGTATATAGTAATAAATTTGTGTTATTTTAAGGCACCAGCTTTGTGGTAATTTGTTATAGCAGCAATAGAAAATTAATACTGTGATGTCCATAACTCATCTATAAAAGTGAAACTTAAAGCAGAAAGAAAGTTTTGAGGCAGGGGCCAAAGTCCTTCATTTATTAGTTCAAAAAATACTTATTGAATCTTTGCTACATGCCAGGCATAGACCTAGTTGCTCAGGATATAACTCCCATAGAGCTTATGATTTACAAACACAGGAAAGTGACTATAAAGTGAGTAGATGATTAAGAAAAAGTGATATAGGCCGGGTGCGGTGGCTCATGCCTGTAATCCTAGCACTCTGGGAGGCTGAGGCGGGTGGATTGCTCGAGGTCAGTTCAAAACCAACCTGAGCCAAGAGCGAGACCCTGTCTCTATCATAAATAGAAAGAAATTAATTGGCTAATACATATAGAAAAAATTAGCTGGGCATGGTGGCGCATGCCTGTAGTCCCAGCTACTCGGGAGGCTGAGGCAGCAGGATTGCTTGAGCCCAGGAGTTTGAGGTTGCTGTGAGCTAGGCTGACGCCACAGCACTCACTCTAGCCTGGGCAACAAAGTGAGACTCTGTCTCAAAAAAAAAAAAAAAAAAGACAGAAAAACTGATATAGAATTTTTGTGAGCCCCAAAATAGGTGGGATAGTTAATAAATTGGAGAAAGTTTTAAAGTAAGAATGGGAAACTTTGTGAATGTTGACCTCTTAGTTGTATGAAACAAGTGCTAGATATTAGAAAATGAATAACCTCCAAGGAGAAGTTTGTAAGAAAACCTATGTCCTGGTAATGAAGTTTCTGTTCAAGCATAACAGGAAACAGAGGAAGAGATGGTGTCAGTAATCAAACGGTAGAGGTGTGGGTGGTAGTAGTGGTGGTAATCATATGAGTGAAAATCATAACAGTAGCTAACATCTTCTGAGTGTTTACCATGTTCCAGACCCTAAATTATCTCATTTAATCCTCACAACTTTATAAAGTTGCTACTATTATTCACATTTTACAAATGAGGAAATTGTGGCTGAGAGAGATTAAGTAACTTTACCATGGTCACATAGCTAATAAATGGGTAAGCCAAGATCTAGCCCCAAATCGTTTGTCTTAACCAAACGATTACTGCTACATTGCTTCTGTTCTGGAAAAATGAGCTCTTTCAGTATGAAGATAAGGTATTGTGGAAAGAGGAGAGAGGGACAATATAAGATGTGTAGAAAAAATGAGGGAACAATGCAGTTGCTCTAATTCTTATTCTTAAAGTAATATTCAGGCAATTTAGATAAGTCTAACTTAAACTGATGCAGCAGTAGGAGAAATATTTTTAAATGACAGCCATTTTCATAGTGCTTGATTTCTACTCCAAAACTTTTCATTAATTGTGGTCCCCCCCTCAGAGTCTTATAAACAACTACTTTCTCTCCCACTCACTTATTTAGTTTTGAACTAGACTCTTAAAAATTCTTAATTTTTATACTCAATGTATACCTTGCTGAATAATCCTTAAGGAGTACCCATACAGTGTAAGTATTTGACAACATAAAAAAACTCACAGCAGTTATACTTGGAAGCAGTTGTAAGTTAACATGCTAAAGCTGGTAAAAATTACAGACAATTTAAATGTTCAGTAACAAGGGAGCAGATAGGTTCATCAATAAACTGTTATGCAATTATTAACAAAATGATAGTAAAAAACATAGTACATTCCCTGAGCCAGGCACTATCAAAGAGCTTTACAAATATTGTATCATTAATTTCTCATAAAAGCCCCATATATTTACTATGTACTAGTAACATTCCATTTGACATATGAGGAAGCTTACATAAGAGGTAAAGTAACTTACTCAAGGTTACACAACTAAGAAGAGTTGGGGCCAGAATTTGAACCCAGGCAAGCTGGCTACAAAACCACTAGCTACTCTTTTTTTTTTTGAGACAGAGTCTCACTCTGTTGCCCCGGCTGGAGTGCTGTGCGTCAGCCTAGCTCACAGCAACCTCAAACTCCTGGGCTCAAGCAATCCTACTGCCTCAGCCTCCCAAGTAGCTGGGACTACAGCATGCGCCACCCCACCATGCCCGACTATTTTTTCTATAATTTTTAGTTGGCCAATAATTTTTCTTCTATTTTTAGTAGACGGGGTCTCACTCTTGCTCAGGCTGGTTTTGAACTCCTGACCTCGAGTGATCCACCCGCCTTGGCATCCCAGAGTGCTAGGATTACAGGCGTGAGCCACCGTGCCTGGTCCACTGGCTTACTCTTTTTTTTTTTTTTTTTTTTTTTGAGACAGAGTCTCACTTTGTTGCCCAGGCTAGAGTGAGTGCCGTGGGCGTCAGCCTGGCTCACAGCAACCTCAATCTCCGGGCTTCAGCGATCCTACTGCCTCAGCCTCCCGAGTAGCTGGGACTACAGGCATGCGCCACCATGCCCGCTAATTTTTGTATATATATTTTAGTTGGTCAATTAATTTCTTTCATTTTTTGGTAAACGGGGTCTCGCTCAGGCTGTTTTCGAACTCTGACCTTGAGGCAATCGCCCCGCCTCGCTCCCCCAAAGTGCTAGGATTACAGGCGTGAGCCACCGCGCCCGGCCCCACTGGCTACTCTTAAAACACTAGCCTAAGCTGCTGCTCAGATGTTATAATGTTATAGCATAAGTATTTTCTTATGTTAAGTGAAAAGGGTCAGATGCAGAATTAAATGGTATCATATGAGTAAAGGAAATTGAGAAAAAAAGATTAGAAAATGATACAAAAATGTCAGTAGTCTCTGGGTGGTAGAATTATAAGGAATTTTTTCTTCTGCCCATTTTATAAATAATGAACTTTGGGAACTCATAAAAATACTTTAAAAAAGACAAAAGGTTGGTAAAGTGTCAAAAGCAATATTTCCAATCCAATTACATGTCAATTTGTATCTTGGACTTTCTATGACTTATAACAAAAGCAGAATAAAGAATTTAAGTGGGCCGGGCCGTGTGGCTCCACGCTGTAATCCTAGCTCTCGGAGGGCCCGAGCGCGGCGGATTGCTCAAGGTCAGGAGTTCAAAACCCAGCCTGAGCAAGAGCGAGACCCGTCTCTACTATAAATAGAAAGAATTAATTGGCCAACTGATATATAAATAAAATTAGCCGGGCATGGTGGCGCATGCCTGTAGTCCCAGCTACTCGGGAGGCTGAGGCAGAAGGATCACTCAAGCCCAGGAGATTGAGGTTGCTGTGAGCTAGGCTGACGCCACGGCACTCCACTCTAGCCTGGACAACAAAGTGAGACTCTGTCTCAAAAAAAAAAAAAAAAAAAAAAAAAAAAAAAAAGAATTTAAGTGAAGCAATCTTATTACTTTAGCTTAAAGACCATTTTTTTCTCTTAATAGGAAAAGACCTTACTTAACCTTTCGAACATCATGTGCAATTAACTGAAAAATTATACTCTAGCAAATGGTAAAGAAATATTGAGCACAAAAATTGGGTATCATTTTTAGGAATTTAACATTTTCACAAATATAAAAGCAATGGCAACATGTACTATACAGTATATGAAATCTATATGTATTCCCATTATATAATTGAAAATGATTAATACATAAACTCCATAGCAGTGCAGATAATGTCAAATACAAAATTGTTTTTCTGCTATGATTGCAATTATCTCCAAAATTATAAGTATATATTAACTAGTACAAAAAGAAAGCCCAGGAGAGAAAAAAATACACAAATAGTATGATTTTTTAATGTTGTAGTTGTTGATTAAATCTTCAGTTTCAATGATGTTTGTATAATAAATAATATAAATGTGGGGTGCAATATGCTCGTTGCATTTTGTATTCTTCCTCTACGTTATCACTGGCTTCTTTGCAATGGCCATGACATCAAAAGAACTAATGAAATTATTATATGCCTCTGCTTTATTCACATTAGATACACATGTAGCTGATAACGTGCAAATAATTATGTTTTAAATATTTGATAAATCTGTTTTGGAATTTAAAACACATGTTCCCATATAAACAATATTAAAAACAATAGTCAAGTTCCCAAGCTAATATGCAAAAGCCTATTTAACTCATAAGACCACTGCTAGAGTAATCCTGAGGCTCCCCCAGCCCAAGTGGAGAATCTGGGTCTCAAGACCTTCAGGTAAGGAATAGCAGTAGATGTGTACCCAACACTGTGGCTTGATAGCTATGGTCCCATGAGATATGGGTGTGGGAGCATAGCTGGAAAGACATTAATGCAGTGAACAGGAGCAGGGCAAGCTCTAGGACCAGAATATAAAGTGATAAGCTTTCAGGTGTCCAAGTGAATCTTATTTCCAGGTTCGCTGGCATTCATAAGAAAAGGATTTTCTTTTCTCTATTTTGATGCCTTTTGTACTCATTTCTATGTCTGTTTTAACTTCAATTTAAAAACTTTAAACAGATATGAGTACAAGTCAGATTTCTAACTAAGATTCCAAAGAAAATATTTAAAACAAAAGACTGATTTCTTTCATTTTAAAAACTTTCATGGAGCTTGCCAGAAGAAGAAATGAGATGCCAAGAAAACTGAGAGTTGTTGACTTGGGAGAAAACATGGAGTCTTAAAGCTGATCTTTCATTAAAACATAAAATCTTGTTACTAATGTAGTTTTATAACTCTGAAATTTACTTGGCACTATTTTTTTTTTAACAAAATGCTAACTGAAAGCTTCATCTCAGTTATTTTATCAGGCTATATATTTATCTCTATAAAGTATGATGAAACAGTAGGGTGAGTATTATTTGCAAACAAACTTTAGCAATTAGTTGGCCCATCACTTCCTTCCTAATAGAAACTTAAATATCATCATTCACTAATTAAATACAACTTGTGCCTGTTTGTTAAAAAAGAACTTAATTTCAGCACAGGAATGGGAGGGTATATAAAATAAAATTAAATTAAAATCAAATCTGGGTATTAAAAAAAGAAAAATTCTTCTTAGATATCAGAAAAAAATTTTTGAAAAAAGCTTCTTCAAAATTAGGATTCAATCTCTTACATGTCCAGCTTCTTAAACATAATTTTTAAAGTCTTAAATCTCTAACATTTGCTCTTAATTTGGCTCTTTAAAATAAATTTTATCTGCAAAAAAACAAACCCCCCAAATCCTTGACAGCTTGGAAATCTTCTATTTTCATAAAATAATGCTAAGCTATAACAAGTAGAAGAGTAAAGGGACTTAAAAATTCATGAAGGAAATGAAGAGCTTTCTCAAAGCCATTAATAAAATATGGAGCCACAGTGGAAGCTAGGGGTGCTGAGAAATAGGGAATAACAATGCATAACATTTTTAATAATGTTTTACTGTTTATAAAACATTTCACATAGGAATTGTGGGAGAAAACTACTGCAAAAGGTATCATTTTGTCATAAATAGTGAATTCCCTCATTTCCTGTGAAAATTTGTCAATGCAATCCCAATACTGATAGGATAAAAAAATCTAAACTCCTTTGCAAAACATATAATGATTTTATATGACTCCTTCCCAGTCTCCTCCCTCCACCCAATTTTGCCTTCTGGAATGAGTACCACAAATTACCTCATCTCTCTAAGCTTTTCCATGTAGAGCCTCTTGGTTTGAGCAAATATCTATTCATCCTTTGGGTCTCAGTACAAATACTATCTCCCCTGTGACTTTTTCCTTCCACAGAGGCTAGCCTTCAGTCTTAGTAGCATCTCTGCTTATACTTTGTACTCAGCTCTGCCATCTAATTGTTATCTTAATTAATTGTTTAAATGCCTAGTTTCTCCCCATTAGAAAATAAGGACCACATCTTTTCTTCTTTGTGTCTGTCTCCAGCACCAAACATACAACTTCATCCGCAGTATAAAAATAAATAAATAAATAAATAAATAAACAAACAGACATCCAAAAGGAATAAGAAAAAAGCAGGTGGTCATGAATGGCCTTCTAGACTATTGTGGGAATTTAAGGATTTAAAAAGTCTTTCTCTGGAAAATCTAAAGCAACCTTTCAGAAGTATTGATTGGTAAGCTGGAAAACTCAGTGAGCACATACAGAATATAATTACAATTTTGTAAGAGTGAAATAAAAAACCTTATGTTTAAAAAAAGATTGGAAGGAAAGTAAAGTATCAAAATGTTAATGGTGATTTTGTTAGAATGGCTCGAAGCCATGGGGAATTTTGCACATCTCCCTCCCTCCTTTTTCCTCTGTTTTCTAAAATGTCTTAAATGCCTCACTTAACCTAACATTATTTTCCATAATATGACTGTAGCCTCCATAAAAATTAATGGCAACACTCTAAACTTCCAAAATTACCAAACTGAAATGGTGAGAACCCAGCATCACGCCATTCCAAATATGGAGCAAAATGATGAGAACATAGCACCTTGATGCCCCAAGGGTAAGAGAAAAAAAAAGATGTAGGACGTACATACTTCCAATTTATTGGCTTTTATGATTATTTATACTATACATTCCTAATCTGTTTTGATCATCTCTTTCAAGATCCAAAAAAGAGCCTACTTACATTGAACAAAAAAACCAATGAGCAATTCACAGTTTACCTCTTATAATGGTAGATACTAACCAGTATATACTAGGTAAAATAAGATGTAGTGTCTATCTTCAAGCAATTTACAGTTTGGTGGGAGAGACAAAAACTACCTAGTTAAAACACCAACAGTATAAAATTGGGTGATAAATTACGTGGTGTGAACAATAATCTTATGAACCAAACCAACATATAAATACCATTATTACCTGATAAATATGGCACAGTACTGACAAAGTATTCTATTTTTAGATCTGAAAGATGAGCTACTACAGCCATGAGTTACAAGTACCAAGCTAAATCATAAAGATATTTTTCAAATCTTAAGGCTTGTTGAGTTTGGTTTTAAGTGTGACAGAAACCGGAGCAATAAAATCAAATTTTATTTTATTTTATTTATTTTTTTTGAGACAGAGTCTTGCTTTGTTACAGCCCATGCTAGAGTAAGTGCCGTGGCGTCAGCCTAGCTCACAGCAACCTCAAACTCCTGGGCTCAAGTGATCCTACTGCCTCAGCCTCCTGAGTAGCTGGGACTACAGGCATGCGCCACCATGCCCGGCTAATTTTTTCTATATATATTAGTTGGCCAATTAATTTCTTTCTATTTATGTAGAGACGGGGTCTCGCTCTTGCTCAGTCAGGCTGGTTTTGAACTCCTGACCTTGAGCAATCCGCCCGCCTCGGCCTCCCAGAGTGCTAGGATTACAGGCGTGAGCCACCGCGCCCGGCCAAAATCAAATTTTAGATCACTGCCCTTCTAAGAGGAAAAATTACAGAAATAAATTATACCTGAGACTTTTGCCTTTGGGCTTCTGCTGGGAAGAGCTCCATCCAGAGACTGAGCAGAGTAAAAAGGTTGACTTTAGAAAGTCTTGGTATTTGACCTACAAAAGAGAAAGCCAACACTTTAAAATTTTGCTAATGATGAAAACAGTAACCAAGCTCAACGCCACTTGGATGCTACAGCCTTAGCTCAGCTACTTTATCAGGAAGCAGAAAAAAGGGATTAGAGAACAAGAGAATCAGCTTTCTTAGCACCAGACGCTTCACCCTCACTCGCGGCAACCTCCTGAGGCACCTTCCAAAGTTGGGGCCCTCCTTCGCCAGGCCTCACCTAGCAGAAAAAAATTGTTCAACGAATGCACGTGGCTATGGGAACAATCCAAAGTTAGCTGTGAGACGTCCTCGCATCTGACGTCGTCTTGGAGCAAGCTTTTCTTTGGACTGTGATGGGGCATTGCTACAAGGGCATTGATTAGAACACAGCCCTAAAAATGCAGTGACCTTCGGAGGTAAAGCAGTCGAAACTTAAGAAAGCGTCACAGGCGGTAAGTTTGGAAATCAAGGTAAAAGTGTGGTTTGGTAAATTTTCAACCTCTTCAACTCCCGAGATCCCGGTTCTAGGTCCGACAAGAAACAGTAAAAGGGGCAATGAGTGAGACTTCAAAAGCCGGTGCGGCAGGGCCAAGCGGTTCGGGTGACCAAGGCAGGGACGTACCCAGGGCGGGGATGAGCTATCAGGAGCAGCTTGGCAGGCGAAGAGGGGCAGGCAAGGAACCCGGAGTTCAAGGCGGGACACGCACGGGGCAGAGCGAAAGGTGGGGTGGCAGGAGCTGGTCCCGGGCACTCACCGGTCATGCTGACAGTCTGGGTGCTGACTGACTGCCTGGCCTCCGCGTTCTCCAGATTTTGCATCGGCCCTGCTTCTTTCAACCCAAGCCTAGCGTCTTCCGCGGCCCAGGAAACCTTTCCCTGTCAGGCATGATCTTGGCCCCAGCGGCTCCCCCTCTCGCTTCTTCCCAGCAACTGTAAAGCAACGGGCTGCGAGGCGCAGCCAGATGACGCCTCAAGCCCGGCCGCCACTTCCGGGCGCCTTGAATGACGTCAGAGTGAGCGGTCGATGCGGCTGCGCGAGGCTTCCCCTTGGGCGGAGACCAAGTGGTTGAGAATCCCTGAGCTATAAAAAGCTTGACACCTGTATTTGGTTATCTTGGTTGTCTTGTCTTGAAATAAGGTTACTAGACGATTTCTTGGCTCGAGGTCTCAGTTTGCGCAGACTCTGATGAGGTGATGGATGCAGAGAACTGAGAATTTTCGTCAAAGAGCAAATGAAAGTCGAAATAGAAACCTACCTCATTCTGTCATTGTCACGGTTTTAGAGAACCTAGGGTGGGGGGATGAGGGGGACGGAAGCTGGGAGGTCTAGGATGCTGCTATCATCAGAAATTGGCCAGTGCTGGGGAACCTAGTGCCATAGAACACAGTAGGGACGTTCTGCTTCTTATCAAGAACATGAAGAATTAAGAGGTGAAACTGTAATTGGGAAAAAGGTGAGGGGAGAGAGAAGCAGCAAGTGGCCCCTGAAAAATTTGAGAGATAGCCTGACACTGTGGGTTTGTGCCTACTGCATTTATTTTATTGAAGTGTCCCAGGCACGACTGAAAATGAAGCCCCTCCCTCCCCAGTGACTCGGGCCAGTTTCCATCACCAACTTGTTCTGTTATCACAATCTGAAATACTGACAAACAGCAGGACACAAAAACTTGCTCTCAGACTATGAAAGCAAAAGCTGAAAGTTATGAAAGGATATCATTCTGTAAAGTATTGAAGTGAGAATCTTCAATGTTGATGGTATGGCTGGGGTTCATTTTCACTACTGTATAGTATTTCATTGTAGGTATACACCACAATTTGAGTACAGGACATTGTGGCCATCTCCGGCTTCTTGCTATTGCAGGGAAAAAAAGCTTCTCTAAGTGTTACAGGGACCATACTTAGTAGTAGAATTCATGGCCTGTTATTCTCAAGTTTACTACATAATGCTGAAACATTTCCCAAAAAGCATTGAGCCAATTTACATAGCTCTATATTCCCATCACTTCTTGGTATTGTCAGACTTTTAGTGTTTGCCAGTCTAATTGGTATAAAATGATGTCTTGTGGTTTATTTGCCCTGATTTCTCCTTAGGTCAGTTATCAGTGTCTGTGACCAGTTCTTTGCAATTTGTTCAGACTTGTTTTATGGCCTCCATCAACACTGTCCAATAGAATTTTTTTCAATGAAGGAACTCTTCTATTAATATATCTGCATTATCCAATATGTTAACCAGTTTAATCAATAAAATGGTTTTAAAATCAATAAATAATTCTTATTGTTTATATAAATCAAGTAGAAAGAGCATAAGTAGACAACCTATATTCACACTCTAACTGTACAAGTTATTTACCAGTTTACTGTATCAGTCAGCTTAGACCCAGTTTGTTTTGAGTAGCAAATGACCAGCAAACCCCAGTAGCTTGCCACAACAAAGGTTTACTTCTGGCTCACATTACATGCCTGCAGCTCTGCTTCTGTGGATTAGCTCTGGGATCTGGGCTACAGGAGCAGCCCCTGTCCTTCCTTTCTTTTATTTTCCTCCAATTCCTCTGTAAGTGCCCAATCTTCCTAGCATCCTAGTTGCCTCTTCGACTTCCCAGCCCCTCTGTCTGCCTCCATACCCGCTCTGCCTCCAAGGGGAGAGGCCATCAAATGGCTTTTAGACTGAATTATCCAGGGAGGGAGGAAGAGAGGAAGAGTTGAAGGAAGGTAGGAGGGGAAGGATGGAAGGAAGGGATGGTGGTAAAATGTTTATCACAAATGTTCATGAAGACAAAATGATCCCAAGTGGTCCAATGCCTAGCAAAGAATAGATGCTCAATGCCATTCATTATTGTCCCTCCCCCTTTCATCTTTCATTTGCTTATTCTCTACAGATAGCTTGAATCTTCTCTTATCCAGAGATAATGTGTTTATTTGGACAGAATGCTCTCACAACAAAACAAGCTGGAGGTCTGTGGAGTTGATCATAAAGACATTGTATCTACAGCTGGCTCTGGTAATGCTTGGTGGGCAATGAATAGCCAGCTTACAGAAGAAAACGCACCTCACACTCAGTTTTGCTCTCATGTGTGGGAAGGCACTGCATGACCAGTGCCTGGAGATCAGGTGGCTGCAGCACTGATAGGGACTGTAGTGGCCAGTGCATCTTTGAGGACAGGATCTGCCCTAATTTGGTCATTTTGAGCAAAAATGTGATCTCGAACACCGCCCTGAGTCCAGAAATTAAGGTGTCTTAAACAGTTCTCAGAAGGCAGTTCCTGGCAGCACTTAAACTCCAAGGAAGCAAAGAGAAGCCTGAAACAAAATCCAGATGCCTTTCAGGAACATTCACTTTGTTACAGAGGGCAGTGCTGCCAAAGAGAAATGACTTCTCAGGTTTTCCATGTATTGTCCCAAATGGCGTCCTCAGAAAAGTAAACTGAGTGCCACATAGATTAATGTGTTGCAGAATAAGAATGTCCAGGGAGCCCTTGAAACGTCCGTGCTCCACGAGGTGGGAAGGATGGGCGGGCCCACTTTCCCAGGCTCTCCCGGGCTCTCTGCCGCAGGCTGCCTGTGGCGGGTGGGCCGCTGGGCCTGGGCAGCACAGCCAGGGTCCAAGCTCCTTTGGGCCCCATGTGGGGTCCTCGGGACTGTCAGGTAGGGCCGTCTGGATTCAGGTATTTCTGGATCAGCATCCGTACAGAGGTTCTCTAATTAGACATGTTCGAAATCAACAGAAGGGACCAGAGGGAGGGCTAGGGATGAGAGGATGGATAGGAGAGGGAACAGGGAGGGAACTACGCTCATGGAGTATCTGTCATGTATTAGACACCCTTTGCAATAATAATGACGATAATACTATTAACAGTGCCTAACATATGAAGCATTCACTATGTTCCAGGCTGTGTTCCAGGTACTTTATCTATATTATCTCATTTACTCCTTCCAGCAACCTTATGATGTGGGCATTATTATTAGCCCCACTTACAGGAAGCAAGATATCAAGTAACTTGCTCAAATAGACATACTCGAAAAGGGTGGTGGGAGCAGGATATAAATGTATATTATTACTTTGTTTAATATTCACAACAACCCAATGTACAGATTTTTATCATCTCCATTTTCCAGATGAGGAAACTAAGGCCCTTGGACCAGCAATATCAGCATCACTCAGGAGCTTGTTAGAAATGCGGAACCTTGGGGCCCACTCCAGACTTACAGAGCTAGAATCTGTACAACATCCACTGGGCCAGACAAGCGGGCTCCAGCAGTTGTCAAACTAGAGTAGGCATAAGAGTCCCCCGACTCTTTGGGTTAAACTCTCTGGGTTTTAACATTTTGATACTTATTTGCATCTAGTATGAAAAATTTTGCTTGTAACATCAGTTAATGTTGGTAGAGATTCCAAATTGGTGGTTTTTAGCAGCAGTGTTTTGGCCCTCTGTAGAATTGCTTCCACCAAGTACTTTTTGGTATCATATCATCTACCCACATTAACTGATGCTAAAAGCAAAATTTTTCATACTAGATGCAAAAAAGTATCAAAGTTTTATTTAGCTCAGGGGTTGGCAAACTTTTTTTTTTGTAAAGACCCAGACAGTAAATATTTTAGGCTTTTTGGACCATTCAGTCTGTGCCACAACTATTCCATGCTGCTGTAAAAGCAGCCATAGATGATGACATGTAAACAAAACAGTGTGGCTGTTTTCCAGTAAAACTCAATTAACTCCCCCTTGTTTAACACCTAACTTCAGTGGCAGGAATGAGAGCTAGTTTAGAGTATATTTGAGGAATGGGGATTTAAATACCCAGAGAGAGAAAAGGATTGTCCAAAATAGCTGAAAATGCCTTGAGGAAGAAGAGGAAGTTGATATTTGCATACTTAGGAAACAAGATATATGATGTGTTGTACAATAAATTCAATGTAATTTATTCACATCTCCATCATCATTCTGTTACATCATCGTGTAACAGAAGCTGAACACTATTAGCTTATGTATGCATCACACACAATTCCCCTGAGAGACCTAAATAATCTAGAGACTGATTCTGCAGTGTTCTTTTTATTTTGTTTTCCAAACAAATTTCAAATTTTATTAGATTGAAATAAACTGCACAGAATTGCTTTTCCTCACAAAAAAGCAACATTTTCTGTATTGTTCTTAGATAAAGCACAAAATTCTAATTTTTGCATGTTTTCCTGCTTGTGCATACACATCAAGATGAGGCAACAGATACACAGTCATGAAAAAAAAACCTAAAGAAAGTACGAAGAGAGAGAAATCAGTTATCAGTGTCTGTGAACTCAGGTCTGTCTTGCTCATGGAAGAGTGTTCATGTGTGTCTGCTAAAAAGCTGATGGCTCTGTCAGAGTGTAGACACGACAAAAGGATGCAAACCCCACCAACACATGTAGGGCAACAACTGCCCATTCTGCCATTCAAATGTTAACTTTTACTTGTTTTTAACATTCCTTGATGAAGACAAACTCTATGCTTAAATCCTCTTGATACAGTTTCTATCACTTTCCGGTAACTTCCTTAAGTATCCATTACAGAGTTTTAACTACACTTAAAGCATAATGTACTGGTGCAGTGGCTTAGGCCTGTAATCCCAGCACTTTGGAAGGCTGAGGTGGGAAGATTGTTTGAGGCCAGGAGTTCAAGACCAGCCTAGGCAACATGCTTCTTGTACAACCTGCAGAAACGTGAGCCAAATAAACCTCTTTACTTTATAAATTACCGAGCCTCGGGTATTTCCTTCATAGCAAAACAGACTAATAAAGCATCTTAAAACATTATCTCAGGTATTGTCAATGATTTCTGAACTACTTTAGAAAGGTCTGACTTGTTTGTATATAGTTTGCTATATGTGTCCATAATTAACTGCAGATTATGTTTTGTATAAAGAGTTACGTTAACAAAGCTACCTGACTTGACCTCTGTTTAGTGTTTGTTGGGCGTGTTTTATGTTCTTGCT